CTATGTCGACTAAGTTCCGGCCGTTTGAGACACACTTTCTTATTAGATCGCTCCAGAAAGTTGGAACGGAGTCTCTATATAAACACATCTGTTATGGCCACTACTATATAGAGCTATAGAGCTCTATAGTGTGGCAACCCCCCAAAAGTTTCCAGTGCATGGCACTTTAATCGGCACTTAATTAATTCATTTACTTCCCATAGACAATTTGCAGAAGTATTCTAATTTCCGAAGATTTCCAAAAGACAACAAATGACGTTGTCTGTTAAGTGGAACCCAAAGATGAGGTGTTAATGCCAATATTGACCCTATTATTTACCATGGACCCATGCAGTCCAATACCAACTGGACAACTGACGTCATAACGAGAGATTTCGAGTCGCTAGAAAGCTCTCGACACCTACACTAACGTGGCCAAAAAGATACAAATGGAGTGGCCCGGATGTACAGTCACGGTCAAGATAATAGGTTCTATTTTGCAAGTTTTTAGAAGCTCTTTTTGTATATTTTAATCGAAGCTATCGATTTTTATCAATAATATAAATAAAGTATTCATTTAATCTATGAAACACCTCTTTCTTTCTTAATTTCTAAGCCTAGAAAGTATGTTGTCTTTTTCTAGGTAGAATTAGATAGTTTGTTATCGAAAGAATCGTTATCGAAACTACTTCTTCTTTCATACTTTTAATCAAAGTTATCAATTTTTATCGGTTATATAAATAAACTATTGATTTAATCTATGAAACACTAGGTAGGGACTCTAGGGAAAGTTCTAGGTAGAATTAGATAGTTTGTTATCGAAATAATCGTTATCGAAACTACTTTTTTTAAGATATTTAATTCAAATCCATTTATAAAGAGCTATTTCCCACTTTCAAGTCTATTATTTTGACCCAGACTATGCCAATGGGCGCGTGTAAGCCCTTGAGAGCTAGACTAGGGTGGTGACTCTTAGCCCTGCCGCCCAAAAGAAAAAAAATAACACTCCAAAGGGTAAACAAAAAGCAAAACAATGACTTTTTACAAAAAAAAAAAAAAAAAAAATGATTAAATGCTCATGCGCGGGCCACTCGAAAAGCCGTTATGCGCCGCTGCTTCAGAGGCACTTGAAGTGGCCAGGGGGCCACCACCACCTCCTCCTCCAACAGATTCCAGGGGGAGTGACACCCGAGAGGCGCCAACGACAATGGCAATGAAAACGACACAAAAATGCAATTACAACTGTGGCGTGCACCAAAATGGTGTTTGTAAACAAAGCAAAGGTAGCTGGAAATCAGGGAAAATGTTACTAGGCCAAGTTATTCCATTCACGATTCATTGGGCAACTCATAATCGATAGAATGAATCGATTATGTTGCTCAAGCAATAAATAATATAGTGTGCTCGTAAATTATGTTAAATGGAAGTCGCTATCTAATCGAAAAATGAGAGAGAAATAAATTTCAGGATTTGCGAAATCGGCAAGAAGTTATGACCTCTGGCTCTCTATCTATGCTAGTTGGTAATGCTGACAAGGCCCCTGCAATAAGTTACTAAGGTATTGACCTTAACTGTGTGGCGATTTGCGGAGAATCGATTAAACTTTACATGAACAGCTGACGGCGCTGAACCGTTAAGCGTCGCCTGGCAATGGCAATGAAAGTGCAACTGCATTCGCGTTGTGCAATTCCACAGACAACAAAAAAAAAAAAAAATAATCGAATAAGAACTATCAGGGAGAGATATCGACTAAAGATACCCATCACTAAACAATCTTAAAATAGAAACATGTCGCGACATGCCATGCAGAGAGCATACCCTCATAGATTAGGTTTGGATTACTGGGTACTAAAATTAAACCACTAGCGTGTTTACATAAAATAAACAAATGGAAATAAGACAGCAACTCAAGCAAGAAGTTCGGGCCGTTAAGCAGTTGGCTGGTATTTGTGGGCACTGCACTGCTTGCAATTTTGTCGAACTCGGCCTTAAACTCTGCTTTCAGGGTCACCACCCAGCCAAACAAACAAGCCCAGCACAATCAGTGGTGTAAAAATAAAACAAACAATATATTAATAATTAATAATAAGCATTAGATTAATTGCTGTGAAATGCAGTTTATAAATAGCGTGCAGCAAATTATGGGAAAGGCAATAAAAGATGTCATACTAGCGAGAACACAATTAAAAGAACCCAAAAGACCCAGCTAGTACAAGTGTTTTAAAATAAATAGCGATTAAAATTACATTTTACAGTGGTGGCTGTGAAAATTACAATTTCAGGCAGCAATTAAGGTTATAACGATTTGAGATCTTGGAACTTTTTCAAATAAATAAAATAATTAAAATAATTGATATAAAGTTACAGCTTTTACTTCAAAAAGGTGACCTGATCACACTTTTTAAATGTCAACAATATACAAGAAATAGGCAATAAGTAATAAAACACAATATAAAATCATGGTGCATGGTAAAAAGCTTAAATTAAGTTAGTAGGAGCGGATGGTGCGACAAAAATAGCTTACGTATGGGCCTGCGGCGCATGCGGGTCTCATTTTTCTCGCCGCCACTGTGGGTACTGCTACTATTAATCGTCTGCATATCTCAGCTGACAAGATGGATTTTATTATGGATTTGAAAAGAAAAAAAACCAAAAAGAAAAAAGCACAATTTTAGGTAAAACTCAAAATTTTAAAGATTTAAAGCAAATCAAAATGTTAAGATATTTTTAACATCCTTCAAAAGCACTACCGCCGTCTTAAAAGCACTGTGCAGAAAGTGATCATTTTTCTGGGAGTTCACTGTAATCGGTTCAATTGAGAGCAAGAGATAGCAACGCCGGCCGATATAACCGGTTCGACTACGAGGCAGCAACAACAACAAAAAAAAAAAGAAGGCAACCGGCGGATATTTGGCCAACTATTTGGTGTTCTCTTCTTTTGGCGAGCTCTCTTTTACATTGTCTGCATTTTTTTTTTGTTTACCTATTTTATGATTTTTTTTTTTTTGTATTTTTTTTACCTTTTTCTCTGCACAGACGCGTCGGTATTCAAAGTTCGAAGGCAACTAAAACCGAAAACTAAAAAGCAGCAAACGAAAATCTTTGCCGTTGACCGGCAAACAAAACAAACGAGGCAGGGGCGGCAGGCAAGCTGAGACCAGGCCAGAGAAAAAAATCAGACCAGAGACAAAAAACAAAGCACAGGAAATAATATTATCACTAAAGCGTTAAGTCGCGTTTGAGCGACACATGCCAATCGAGGGGAGGGAGCAATAGCTTTTCCTTCCCTTTACCGATAAGATAAGGGGGAGAACAGGATAGTTGTATAACCCATCGCTGTGATAAGATATCGATTGATATATGGCCCTTCTTCTCTTTGGAATATAATTTAATTTATAGTTGGTCTCAGGAAGGATATAAGATATTCGGTACTTGGTTAAAAAAAAAGTTCAAAGCTTAAGGACTATACCCACACTTTTTTATTAATAAATAATATAAAGATCACTTTAGCAACACCCACTGTTCCCTTCAAAGTTAATGCGCCACCTGTCTAAAAATGGAGGAACTTTATATATCTTAACTTATTAACCATCACTAGAGGGCGTATATAAATGCTTGTAATAACCGTTTTATTTTTTAAAAATATTTTACATTTTTAACAAAACATTAAACTCTTTTAATTAGACCCTTTTAATTCAGGGTCCTGCACTTAATATATATTCTTTCGATTAAACCATGAGAACTCAAGCACTTGGCAACCATGTAACTAGCCAACTTCCAAGGTCACAGACAAATTTGCAAAATGGCTCAAGAGAAGCCAGTTCATGACATTGACCTCAACACCTGGCGGACCAATGATAGAACCGTAAACAAACGCGGTAACTTGACCCAGTTAAATCATAAAAGTAGAATTCGAAAACAAACCCGTTAAAAATTCATTCAAGAGCCCAAAGCAGACAGCAGATGTGGTTCGGAGTGTAAACAAATGGAGTGCCAGCCGGGTGGGCGTTAGACAAGGATACCGAAACCAGCGTTAATCAATAAACTTGATTAACGGTTTATCGACTTAGAACTGCACTTACACAAACACAAGGAGGCGAAATTCGGGAGGGTAGAGAGGGAAAACACGTGTCTTTCTTCTCCTATTGATTTTTACCAATTTCATAACTTGGCGAAATTCAGGACTCTTTGTTGTCTGCACACCCACGTGTTATTGTTGTTGTTGTTATTGTTGATTTGAGAGATTTGTTGTGTTGTTGGTTATTTTATGGGATTTGTTTGTTTCATGTTTTTATGTTAAATGGGAACCACAGAAAAAAAAAACAATAGCAACGAACGAATAGTATAGTATTGCCGCTGAAGGGGTAGATGGGTTGATGGAGCAGATGAGACACCGAGAAAAGAGACACACTCACAAGATAGCCGAACAACAATTAACAATTTGGTAATTAACGGAATCAGAAACAGAAGCAAAAACAAAAACAAATCATTTGTCGGGCAGTTTGCACTCACACACAGGCACTCACATCTCTTCCAGACAACTTTAGTCGCGGTAACAGCGAAAACTTGAAGTTCACTCCTGGCTTCATTGACTTGCAATTTCAGGACTTGCAAGGACATAGACAACAACAATTTCATAGGGTGGAGAACATTTTTGGGAACATCGATGTTTGTTGCCAACTATCGATATTTTGTACATCACTGGATAGCGATGGAAGCTTTTTTAGTCCCATTCCACCAGTTTTTTTTTTTTTTTAGATTATTTACCTATCGATAGAAACGGTAAATTTTAGTCGGCGGAAAAATTATTTTCAAATATCCAGACAAAGATTTTTCTTTAAAACAAATAAACTAAGCCTTGGAAAAAATTAATTATAATTTTGAGCATTTTTTTTTTGGATTGCCCACTTTTTTAGTACATAAGTAACAGCTGGGATGCTTTTTTCTTTTTTCTTTTTTCTTTTGACCGATATTTTTGGGACAAGCGCGTTCGTTGCTCCGCTTCTATTTTATTCATCCTCCTTTTCCTCTTCTGTAACGGTGCGGATCAGTTGGATAACTGGCGAGCTGGCCGAACCATTATTTATAAAAAAAACATAGTGAAAGTGCTAGGCAAATTAAATCCTCCTCAGCCGTTTGTTTCGTTTTAAATTTATATTTTTTAATATTTTCGTTATTCCATTTTTTTTTTTACGCGAGCTTTGTGCGCCAAAATTTTTTTCTAAGAATATTTGTGTGTTTCTTCCCAACTTGTAAAAAAAAAAAGAGTTATTGCGGTAAGTTTTTAACAATTTTAATAGTTTATAGTACTTTTCTGCGCATTAGACTTGTTTCTGCGTTTGATCTGTGCATTTTTCTTAAAATACATATTTGTGTGTATACTTCCATACTTCCCAATATTGCTTTTATAATATAGAAAAAAAAGAGTTATTGCCGTAAGTTTATTTTAGTTTTCATAGTTTATTTCTTAGTACTTTTCGGCGTCGAGTCGTCGGCGCCAAGTTGTAGGCGCCTAATGTTTCTGCCGCTTGATTCGTGCGCGCCATTTTGAGTGTCTAGACACGATCTATTGTCGTCTCATTTTAACCAATACAGAGTGATGCAAGGCTTCGACGAATTTGAAAACTAAAACGCACTTCCGAGAATGAGAAAAAACGAGCCTTAGTGATTAGAAGATGCTAGTTGGACAAAACAAAGCCTGAAAACAGAGTGCAACGAAAAAGTTCAAGGTTAACCTCTTGAGAGTATACATATTGAGTTTACCGTTACTTTGGAAAAAAAAGCAGTACAGTGTTGTACAGTGAAGCTTCGCCAAACTAAAAAAAGTTGTTTACACTTTTATTGCAGAGAAGTAATCATGGACCAGTTGAAGCAACTGGTGCGTCCTATAACCTCTGGCAGCCGGCAGGCGCCAGATCCCTACGATCAGTACTTGGAGTGTCGGGGCCTCTACCGCAAACATACGGCCCGGGATGCCTCCAGTTTGTTCCGTGTCATCGCCGAGCAGCTATACGACACTCAGTCCTTGCACTATGAGATCAGGTTGGAGTGCGTTCGCTTCATGACCCTAAAACGACGCATTTTCGAGAAGGTTCGTTGGATAGACTTCCTCTCTAAAGGGGTAGGATTATGATAGTATCCTGATTTCAGCACATTCCCGGTGACTATGACAGCTACCTTTTTGACATGTCCAAGCCCAAGACGTATGGAACCATGACGGAGTTGCGTGCCATGTGCTGCCTCTACAAGTAAATGAATCAATCACATAATGTATGATCCTGAGAGGATTAATCCTTTGATTTTCAGACGTAATGCCATTCTGTACGAGCCCTACAACATGGGAACTGCTGTTATTTTTAATCGTAACTTCCAGCATGACTTTCGTGTTTTCTACAACAATGAGAACCACTTTGACTCCGTCTACGAAGTGGATGATATCCAAGCTGCAGCCATTTGTCAGTGTATGTCGTGTCGTATAACATCTAATATATAGATTTCTTAACTCTTTGGCTTTTGGAATTGTAGCGATAACCTTCAAGCTGCTCTACCAAATGCTGTTCAAGCTGCCCGACGTCAACTTTGCGGTTGAGAGCATGTTGCATCCGCACACCTTTGCATGGGATCCCTTCGATGTCGTTTTCGACCAGCAGGGCTATATGATTCGTATCAAGTGCTCCGATGGTCGCATCTTTACGTTGGACCTGCCGGAGGTAACCAACTGCATCCTGGAGGACTTTCAGCTGTGCAACTTCCACAGCAGTCGTGGAATCCAGAGTCGTAACCGTAATTTGAGACAGTTGCTGGACCAGTCACAGAACCCAGACATGGCCGGGAATGTTGGAGACGAGACTCGTGACCGCATGCTCATGTGCGCCAATAAGATGGTGTCCTGCGTGCGTCAATTGCTTGACGATGGTGGGTTCTTTGAATGTTTTAAACTTCTCTACAGGTTTTCTAATATATTTCTATGTTTTTTTCAGGTATCACTCCTTTTCCTTATAAAGTGGCCAAGTCCTTGGACCCAAACATGTACCGAAACATTGAGTTCGACTGCTGGAATGACATCCGCAAGGAAGCCAAGCGCCACAATGCCTACTGCAATGACTACAACTTCAAGGTAGGACACTTTCCCAGTCCATACATACACGCAAGCACACATTCGTTTCATGTCAATCCTTCGAGTGTCAACCAGTTACATTTCCCCCTTCCCCTCACTTTCACACACACACACACTACACACACCACACACTATAAACGCTTTCACCTTTTGTCTCTGATGTGGAACTATCTTTTATCCCTGTATCCGTGTCGTTGTTTTGTGTTGTTTGTCTTCCAGGTGGGAGCCAAGTGCCGGGTTGAGTTGCAGCACGAAGTGGAAATGGTGACGTGCCACATCCAAAAGATCTCCCGTGACAATTCTTCTTGTCTTGTGTTTTTGGAGAAGATTGGCAAGATGACATTGGTACTGCTTCCATAATTGTGTTTTTAAAGACTCTATCTTTATATATCTTTTATTATATTGAATTGTCTGTCCGATGGTTGATCTTATATAGTCTATATAGGGTTTAGGTTTCGATTCGACAATAAATATACCATTTTTGAATTAAAGATTTGGACTTGAGAAGATTTTGTAACGTTTTAAAGCCTTTAAATGTTTGCGATTCACATTTTTAACAAAAGTACTGGGTATTAATAGTAAAAACTCTTAACTAAATGCATTTTAGATTAAAATGTGCAACTTTATTATATATACACCATAAATTTCAATCTTAAATTCCCCCAGAATAATAAAATTAAATTCTTTTTATAAAAAGACTTGTTTCTAACGAATATTTCATCCTTCGTCTATCAAAGTCAGGGTTATTTTAGAGTTTTAAAAATTTGTATGGTATTTTTGCTAACTATCGAATCTCCGGCTGGTCTAGGTCCCCTATGATTCCCTGCACCCAGTGCCCCCCGATGAGTTCCGCCCCTGGACCTTGCCCTATCGCTATCAGCAGCGGTCGCTAAACCGCCTTCCCCAGATGGCCCAGAAGTTCGGAAACAAGTCCGGACACAACAACAACAAGCTGGCCAAGTGGAAGAAGAACAAGGTGGTGTTCGAAGAGGCCAACTGCTTCGAGTCCACTCAGTATGCGCCCGAAAACCATAATAATGCCGATCAGCAACAGGACGGGCAGAATAACATCGAGCAAGCCCAAGAGCCGCTGGAGCAGCAAGAGGATCAGGAGCAGGCCTCCCGGGCCAGGGAGCGGGAGGAGGGTGCCAAGCTGCAGCCTCAGCAGCAACAGAAGCAGGTCGTGAAGGGGTACAAAGCTACTCGCCAGAAGAACAACTCAGGATCTCACCATAACAAAGATCCGATGGTGGCTGTGGCTATGCCGCCGCCAGGTCACTTCATGGGCTTTACGCCCTCCATGATTGCACGTCCCGGGGCCCAGCCTTCCCCAGCCTGGCCAAACTCGCCCATGGCAATGCCCGAGGAATTCCAGTATCCGTTGCAGGGCCCACCGCTTCCTCCGCCCACCGATGGATGTGTCTACATGCCGATTGGTAGCTTTGCTCCGCATCCCACTATGCCGGGACAGCTTCTGCCGCTGCCCCCAATACCCACCCCAACCAACATGGGTAAGTCAAGTCCATTTCTAGAGCTTCTGTTTATAATTAATCCATAACATCCATAAAGCTCCTGCTGCCGTCGGCGTCGAACCAAGACGCTCCATGCAGATGAATGGGGAGGATCTTCCGTCGGATGTCGGAACCCTGAGATACTTCTACAATATGGGCGTTGATATGCATTTGCGCATGAATCACCAACCTTCGCCGGAGGAATTGGCCGTTGTGCCCTACATCCAGCAACAGGGCACTCCGGAGAAGGTGGAAGATCACCTGGCAGTGGAAGCCACTCCGCCAGCAACTCCGGAAGCCGGAAATGGAGGCACCACTGAGCCCCTAGCTTTAGAGAAGTCCAACTCGAAGCGCAACGGCTCACCGCAGACTGGAAAATATCGCGGCAAGCGTCCGGAGCAGTTGCATGAGCTGAAGGATCCGATGGGGCATGCTGCCCTGCTGCCCACACCCACCCCATCGCCGGGCACTAATGGCAACCAGTTCAGCTTCATAACTCCGCCGCCGCCACCACCACCACCACAACACTTGATGACTCCGCCTAGGCTGCTCCAGCCGCCGCCCATCTACTATCACAAGGCGGGTTCGGGCGCTCCGCCCCAGATTCCGGGAGTACCGGGCTCCCCATCTCAGATTCCGGTGTTGCCTGCCGGCCAGGTGAGTCGTGTGCTCATCTTTTAGACTTTTTAGATGTGTGAACGGTATAATCCTTTGCAGAATCCCTATGCCTGGGGCCTTCCGCCGCCACCGCCGCCTTCGATGGTTCCTCACTTTGAGGTAATCAACAATTTCCCCATCGATGCCCAACAGCAGCAGCAGCAGCAGCAGGTGGCTCAAGTGTCAGCTCAGCAGGCTGGCCCACAGTTGCCAACACTCCCAGCTCAATCTCAGCCAGCAGCCAACTACGGAGGAGCTGCCCCGCGTCATCACTGAGAGGGAGGAGAAGGTAACGCAGGAGGGACATGGACATACCAGTCCCAAAAATCTCAGATACGAAATCGAAACAAGCTACTTTTAAAACTCGATCATATTTTTAAATTGTAGTCCACTTTTAAGGCACACATCTGGAAGCCCAGTAACCCCCCCTTACTTTCTAAAAACATAATGCTCGATGAATGCATATCTTAACTAATGTGTCAACTAATTTAATTTTTTAAATTTGTAATCGGAGCTGCACTTTGCGATTCTTTTTTTTTAAATAACTCCTCACTCTTAACGCAAACCATAACCACACCACAACAACACCTATTTATATGATCTATTTAACCAACAAGTGTCCTTACCAAGTAAACATATATATTATCTAACTCTACCCCATGTAAAAGGTATATCTCAACAACACAACTAACTAAACAAATAAAAAGTAACGTATATCACAGATTGTGGAAGTAACTTTAAAATGAATAACACACACACATACCTTTTACTATATACTTTTTTACTTTTATTTTAATATATGCCTTGTAACTACTTAAAACATTAATCAAAATGTGACTATAATAGTCCTAAAACTTTTCTATAATCGTAAGAATTATCTTGTTTAGCACCTTGATGGCCAGATGTGAGCTACCGTCTGTTTGTCGTCTTTGGTAGGGCTGTTGAATGAAAGAAGCCCTTTAGAAAGCCATGCGATAGGTGCTATCATTTTGAGTGAGAATTACTTGAGCCACTCCGCCACTGGTCAGGATGGAGAACATTAGAAGCCACAAGAGGAGCCACAAGGTGCTAGTTTGTGCTAGTAGTAACCGATGCATTGTCGATGGAGAAGAAAAAAAAAAAAAAAAAAAACGAAGAATACTTTGAACTTGTAACCGATACGTTTTTGTTGGCGTTTTAAATCTGTTTAGTTGGATATTATTTGTCGAGTGCTCCCAATTTTTGCTTATTTCTGCTTACAGACTGAAAACGCTTCGCCAAAGTGTCGCATTTTTATGCTGAATTTTCAAACTTGCCGCCGAGTGCAAATGGGCGGCACTCAACGACCTACATTCTGATTTTATACCGGCAGTAGTTCCACTGCCCATCCACTAATCTCTTATTATTAATATTACTAACTCCGGGGCACGATATGTGTTTGCCTTAAAAGTTGCGTGTTTTTTCGAAAAGGTTATCTCTCCAGATCTCTCTCTAGAGAGAAGGTCAAGATCAATGAAGATCACTACATGTGGTGGCCTAGAAGTGGCCTAAAATTAATCATTTCAATGTGTTTAAGTTCTAAGTTCCATATTTTATATTAAAAATACTCCATATGTTATCCCCCCAAAAAAGCAAAAAACTTGTATTATTTTTTAGATTTTTTTTTCAAATTTTTTTATTTGTTTGCAAAGAAACCTGAGAAGCACGCCCCTCCGCAACCGTGGATTGTGGGTGGGTGGTTTGGTTGGTGGGTGGTTGTTGAGGCTGTGGGGGCGCAGTGGTCTTGTCAGGCGATCAGGCTGTGTCGGAGAACACAAAGTAACTAAGTGGACGGAACCCCAACTGACAGTCGCTTCAGGTTGGATCTGGAACGGCAGCAGTCTCTGGGAACCTCCGATGCCCGCTCCTGCAAATCCTCAGTGTAGGATTCGCTTAGTAGGAGGGCTGGGCATAAGCTCCGGGTCCGGACGGGCCGGGTCCGTAGCTCTGGTGGCTCGGTCCGGATCCATAGGGACCCTCACGATCGCCGGCGATGCTGGCCAGGGCGGAGAGGCCCTGGTTGCCGTTCTGGAGCAGCTGGTAGCCAGCACTGGCAGCAGCGGAATCAGCTCCGGAGGCATAAGCGGGCAGAGCTGGTCCACCGTGCTGGTGTCCGGGTCCGGCGCCATGACCACCGTGTCCGTGACCGTGTCCACCATGTCCGTGTCCGTGTCCACCGTGTCCGCCGGCTGGGCCACCGGAGTGAGATCCCTGGCCGTAGCCCTGCTTGTTCTCATTGACGAAGTACTTCTCTGCTGGGGGCTTCACCACGTTGACGAACACGGGCTCGACCTTGACGCGACGGGGATGGTGCTTGACGTAGACCTTGCGGAGGACGATTGCTGGGGGCTTGTGGAGCACCACCGGGGCGGGCTTGACCACCAGTGGGGGGTGGTTGACCAGCACCTTCGTGGGCGGACGCTTGACAATGATGGGGGCGGGGCGGTGGATCAGGATCTCGCCCTTGTTCTGGGGATAGGTGATCGAGGAGGTGAGGGTGTTGCCCTTGGTGTTCACGGGCTTGTAGGGGATGTTCTGGTCGGAGCCGTAGCTGCTCTGACCGGCCTGGGCCACTCCAGCAGCATCAGCACCTCCCTCCAATCCTCCGGCACCGGCTCCGGCACCACCGTACTCGCCACCGGCAACGCCACCAGCTCCGGCAGCAGCAGCCGCCGCCGAAGCGGCATCGGCTCCGCCATCAGAGCCACCATGGCCTCCGGACACTGGTCCGCCGTAGCCCTGGTTACCGCCGTAGTTCGCGCTGGCACACGCCTGGAAGATGGCAAAGGGAATGGGTGAGTCTTTGATTTCTAAAAGTATTCCTATGCTAATTTATGATTTTTTCCATTTCAGATTTAGATTTAAGATTTAGATTTAATTGTTAAATATTTTTAAGTCTTGAATTCTTTGTTTAAACTTAGAGATCTCTCTCTTAGAGATCTTTTATCTTTCAAATTCTTTCAATCTTTCAATATTTTATAATTTTCAAGTCATTCTCGGAGTCTATCGGGGTAGACTGTCTTGAGGAAATCAAAGGAAATCCAACTCCATAAGCTATATAGATGTATATATATACTTACGATCAGGCAGGCGGCCAAAGCCCAAATGTAGCTCGATCTTGTCATCTTGTCCCAGTTGCAGTTCCAGTTGCTCTCCGGCCTCTGGTGCTCCCACTTGGAATGTCGTGTGTCTTCTGGTGCCCTCCAATAGTGTCCGTAGTCTTTAAATATGCTCCGGGCTAGCGTCTCCGGGTCCGGCTTCCAAGTACGTGACATTTGTCAAGATGGCCAAAGTAACTCCATGTTGCCGGGTTTATGGGTTGTTGTGTTGTTGGATCTTACGGGTTCGTTTGCTTTCCGCTCCACACTCTTAACCCACGCGATGGGAACCGAACATGGCCAAATGCTGATAGATCGCACGCATCGCATCGCAACCCCGGGGCACATATCGCACGCTGTCTTCAACTTTACGTAGAATCCACCAAAATCCAACAACACAATCGAGAGCTTTGAATCTCAGCTCGCATATCGAGGTCTATCCGAACGTCTTGGCCAGATTGCGATTCTCATGGCGAGAAATGGCCCGGAAAATAGTTCCGCATTGGCAGACAAAACCCAGGCCCCCGGAGAAATGGAGAGCATATGGCGGAATCTATTTTTCAGATTATTTTAACTGTTTGCACTTTATAAACTATAATCTTGTACAATCGCACGATGTAAGAATAGATATTGTAATGTAGGGGTTTGATTATAATTTTACTTTCCTGGAAAAGTAGTTTTTAAGGAGGCACATCCTGAATGATAAGAATTTAAACAGATTTGTACAAGAATATATATTTTTTATAAAATAGTTTATAAGAAGTTTCAAATAAGAATATATAAAATATATAACCAATTATTATTCCAATCAAATCCATTTATAAAGCCATAAGCTATATTTTAGTTCAAGAAAGGCTTATATTAAATATAATTCATTAACTATTAAATACACACGTATTTATATGTTTAAGTAAAAATAACTAAAATCATAAAATAAGTGTTACATATCTAGTATTTATAAAATTCCAAGAAAGGGATTTCAAAATAGGTCCTTTTTCAAACCTTTCTTTCAAAAAAGATGAGTCTTAAAGAGGCTCTCAGTTCTTTTAGAAAACATACGACTTGATAATAATTCCTTCATTAAATAAATCATTAAATTATTAATAAAACCTTATAAAAACCCCCCTTATAGAGGCCACAATTTAAAAAACAATCGTGCTTGTTGGTAAACAAACAGTTCCAACGTGAAACAATTCCATTACAGATTGTAAACTTGCAGATAAAAGTATCTTTCTGGAAAGAAAATATGTCGCAGATGCAGAAACTGTTAAACTTTGTAAATAACCCGTATTTATGAAATGCCTACCCATAATTAAAATCATGTCATGTTGTGAGTCAATATTTAATGATGGATAATATACCCAAAATAATGAAGGCCCATCTCTCCCAGCTTGTAGGCCAATTAATGTTAAAAATTGACAAGATTTGTGTAATTTAAGAGCTAGAATCAATTCTCAACTCGGAAAGAATTAAAATCTATTTATAGTTAAATTAAAATATAATTGCAATGTAAACAATTTCCATTGTAAGCCAAGCAGTTACTTTTTGGTTTAATAATTTCTGCTGTTGTTTACAGTTTGGGGTTTTTATTACAAAATTATGACCCTTTTTTGCTTGCCCTTGGAGCTGTTCTCAAGCCTAAAAGGTTATTATTAATATTATTATTAAAATACTATCATAACCTATTTATTTTTTAAATATATATTTGTAAAGATATTACTCCAAAGAAGATAAGATATGGGAGCTAAGACATGGCCACTTCGACCTCCTTATCTTGAAAAAGTACCGGGTATATGTAGTTATTTATTTTAAAATTAAATTATTTTAATTTCTTAAAACAATCAACTTCATTATCCCCTTAATAAAAATCCATTATTTTTATATTTTAAGTAATTCTTCTTTTCATTTTTTATTCACACTCGGCACTTGGCAAAGAAAAAAACAAAAAAAAAATAAATTAAATTAAACCGGACCAGGGTCAAACCCCAGTAACGCGGCATTTAGGATCTGGGAAGGATCCCTGCAACCCACTTAGTAGTTGGGCTGACCGTAGGGGGCGGGACTGGCGTACAGAGGAGCCTCGTTGCCGGCGGAGTAGCCATCGGCGGAGGAGGCAGCTCCCGCGGCGGAAGCAGCTCCGGCGTTTCCGTAGCTCTGGTGGGGCTGGCTGTAAACGGGAGCGACCACCGGGGCGAGAGGAGCCTCGATCTTCTTGCCGGGCTTGTAGACCTTCACGTAGACGGGGTTGAGGCTCAGGGGAGTGGGCACCTTGTTGATCACCTCCTGCTGGTAGATGACCGAAGGCTTGATCTTGTAGATCACCGGGTTGCCACGGACCACGGTCGGGGGACCGCTGTTCACATGGGCTGGGGGTGCGCCCGGCTGGTGGACGATGATTGGAGGCAGGGGCTGGGTGGCGATCACCTGGTGGTTGTTGTGGCCGGAGGGCACCAACAGGGAACGGAACAGATGCTGGTCAACGAACTGGGGGGACACCACCTTGATCTTGCCCTGGCGGATGTTGCTGGCCAGGTTGGTCTCGGCGAGAGACTCGGCAATATCCTCGGAGTTCTTCAGCTTCTGGTAGGTGGGATCGGCGTTGAGGGCCTGGAGTTGGGCCTGGACGCGTCCCAGCCGACGGGCCTCCTCGGGAGTGGGCTGGATCTCGGCCTGAGAGGCGATCTGATTGGCAGCCGGCTGGTTACCGCCAGTGGCCACATTCACGTACTCGTCCAGTCCTTGGGGACCGCCGGGCAGATACTGGCCGGGTCCACCGCCGCCACCACCGGGACCATAGTTGCCACTCACCAGCTATTGAGAGAATCGAAGTATTAGTACCGGCTGTGGATGGCATTTGGGGATGATGATGTATACTAACCGATGAGCCGGCGGCAATGGCCAAAATGCCAAACCAGAGACCGAGTTGCATGTTAACGTGTGGATCGTGGATCGTCTACTACTGCTCGATCTCTGGGCCCGGGTCCGGCTCTTTATAGTGCCTATAATCGCCAGCCGCCACGGCCGGCTACGTGATCCATTTCCATTTCCGATTTCTGGCCCGGAGTGCCTCAGTCTCGTCTGCTTTCCGTTGCAATCTTTTTTGCTTTTCGCGGCTCGCCTTGGCTTGAATCATCTTCGTTTCTCTGGAAGATCTCTCGTATGCAGATCGGATCTTGAAAGATTCTCCAAAAAGTTTCCAATTTTCCGACCCGACGACTGTTATTATCAAGTTTTTCTTTGGATTTGTAGTTGGAGGTTGTATCATTTATCTTAACAGTTTCAACTCTGCCACCACCTCCAAGATCAAGATTTAAGTTTAATTATTTGAATAAGTCTTTTTTGATTTAAAATTTTTAATCTTTTTTTTTTTTAACGAGAGATAAATATTTGGGCTTTATCTGGTTAGTTTGTGTAAGTATCTTTACACATATATCTTAAGAGCTTGAGATTATAACTGAGAGATACATTTTTTACCACTACATAAATAGTTAACAGAAGGGGTTTTGTTTTTAGTTCTCGTTCGACTTTTGTTTAAGTTTCTTTATTTATTTTTTAAGGATCTTAATGTTTGGATCTTGACCCATTGATCCTTCTAACAGTTTCCATGGTGGGTATATTATTTTGTTGATAGGCTTTTAAGAAATGTAACTAATCAGAGGTATAGTAGTTGAATAACAAACCATTCTTGTCATATTTAAATACATGATAATATTTATTATTTAATTTATTTATATATCTTATAAATGTAGATCTCTTAAACTATTTTCCAAACCAAAGTCCCAAACGAAAACTATATTTATATATTTTTAAATATTTATTTTATTTGTAATAATACCCCATACTCTTTGTAAGTGTGATGTGTGTTTTAAGTGTTTGTATGTTTTGTTGTGATGTTGCATGTTGTATGTTGTGTTTCATGTGTGTTTCAGCCTCATGTATGTGTTGTGTTTTTTTTTTCTTATTTTTTAGGAACTTAAGACTACTTCAGAGACCCCTCTTGTAGAGGAGGTAGGTGAGATCCCTCGTGGGTCGACTGCCGTAGTCGTTGAAGGGCGACTTGAAGGGCAGTTGGCTGCCAAAGGACTCCCGCTCCTCGCCTGGTGCAGGACCTCCCCCGGAGGAGGAGGAGGAGCGAACCACCGAGGGATTCGATTGGGCGGCGTGCAACTGATCTTCGCTGGAATTAATGATATATCCCCTCTGAGGTTGTTGCTGGTTTTTTGGATATCTCATATTTCTGTGTGGTGTTTGTGGTTGGTATTGTTGTTGATGTTGTTGTGGTGTGTGCTGTGTGTTTGGTGTGTATTGTTGTTGTGTGTTTGGTGTGTATTGTTGTGCGTAGTTGTAGCGTTGTTGTTGCTTCTGCTGCCTTTGTTGCATCAGATATTGCTGCTTCGAAGCCACCGCCCGATTGTCAAAGTTCTGACTCTGTCCCCTTCCATAGGCCGACTGCTCAGCTCCTGGTCTTTCCGCTCCCGGTAGGTACTCGTGATGCACCTCCTCGTGGACTCCGTTCTGGGTCTGGTTGATCAGACGATTGTATTCCTCGTTGGTGCCTCCGACCTGCAAGTGAATCGCATGCCGGAAATCGTCACCCAAATGCTTCAGCCAGAAGTTCTCATCCACCTCGCCGGTGGTGTAGATTCTGGTGGTCTGGCCGCTTTTGGGCTTGCCCACCACTGTGCCGGTGGACTCCAAGACATCTATGACATCGTACTGTTCGTCGCCGGAGCTGGGTTTTCCGCCGGGCAGAGGTTCCACCCGGGCGGCTTTCCGGAGATCCCCGTTGATGAGGCGATCGGTGGTCTGATCGATTATGGAAATGGGACTGGTACTGCCTCCGAAATCCTCCTCTTCGCCGGGTGTGGTGTCTCCAAGATTCTAAGAATTGTACGTTCCATTAGTTACAAGTCTTTCAAAGGCCGTCAGTTCGACTCCAACACCCTACCTCACTGCGAGTTCCGGCCAGAAAAGCAACGATAAACGCCAATATGGACCACCTCCAGTTGGTGGCCATTTTGGGTAACTTTTTCGTATCAACTGAAGCCCCAGCGGCCTATGGATTCCACTTAAATAGCCCCAGTCCCAGTCCAAAACAAGACATGCCTCGTACTATTTTAGTTTCGAGAAGAAAAAACAAAACGTACCGGGACGTGATCTAAAACCAGATATGTCATATGCCATTTAGATGTCTCATCCACGAATCTCTGGCGATCTTGATGCGTCAGAATCTCCCGACCAAGCCAGAGGGGGACGGCACCAAGAACCGAGAGAGACAGCGAAAGCGAAAAAGAAAGGGAGGGCTACACATCCCAGGGTCATTGAAATTCTTAGCTATTTCTCAATGGGTTTCGGTCTAGTTCCAATTCTTAATTGATGTCCAGTTATTGGGAACTTGACAGTGGAAGCTATGATCCATGATCTTAGTACTATAGCTTCTATAAGAGTCGATATAAGTATGGTATGGCAAGTGATACCATTTTCGCATTGGGTTTAAACCTTAAAGTAATCTACTTTGGACACACCCATCCATGAGAAAGATTTTGCTTTTGGGTCACGCAGAGTCTGGGCTTTTTTTGCGGGCTCTGGAAACTTGCCCCTGTAGAGTTATCTACGGGTATCTTTCGGATTTTCAATGGTATGCGATCGCAAAAGTTCACCACCTGAATGATCAGCTATTTGTTTTGGTTTCACAGAACCAGAACTTTAGGCCATTGAAAGATCGTGCTAAGTAGGGCTTGTACTATAACGACTTTTTTGTACTCGTAATATTGTCTATAGAGGTATGGAGTATATCTATGAGAGATATGAATGTATCTAGGTTTAAGAGGTTTTTTAAAGAATAAACTTAATATTAAGCTCAAGTATTATGGGGTAAAATGGTACAGTATCATAACCATAACCATCACTATAATATCAAATAATACTATCCTATCTTGTGTTAGTTTATTTCTAGAATAATTCCCCATCCAAACCATCATAGATCTTCTAATACGGAGCATACTTTTAGGGGTATTCTAGACCCCTTCAGTATGGTAACTCCCATAATCACACAAAATCGAGCATTTTGGATCAAGAAAACTTTATTAAAAGGGGTCAGTGAGTGGCAGTGGGTTTAAACTGCCGACAAAAAGGGAAAACGTAAACAAAAATCGGCGGAATAGGTGGAAATAAAATATATACATCATGTACATATATATACAGGTGAGACATCGAGACCCACTGGCCTAGATTTCGGGCCGAGCTCAGCAGATTCTTTTTATTTTTCGACGGCTCTTTCGTCGGGGGGTGCTCTTCGATTCTCCGATTCTTCAGTAGCTGTAGCTGCAAAGAGAAGAAAGACGAAGGGCTGGTCAATAAAGAAACGCCACAGATTTGTTTTCAATGTACATTATATTCTATTTCATCCCACTCTCCTCAGCTTTCTTCTAACAAAATAACTAAATCTACAAATTAATAATGGCCTGGCTTAGAAGAATCTAACGAATTATTCGCGAGCTTAGAACCAGGCCCTCAGGTAATCCGTGATGGGTGGAACGTTGTAGGTATCAATACTGTATCCGTTCTGGCTCTGGCTGTTGTAGCCGTAGGTCTTGGCCGGCCTGGTGGAGTAGTCCGCCCGGAGGGCATGCTCCGGCTCCGGAGAGGCATCGAATCCCCAGCCTCCCAGCCGGCCGTCGATGAGCTTCCTCAGGAAGTCGGTGGTCTGCCGCTTTTGCACCGGCTCCGGGTCCACCAGGGCACCCTCCGCACCCTCGGCTCCGTACTGATAGCTCGGATGGCTGTACACAATGCCGGAGATGATTCTGTCTAGCTGGGAGTCGGAAACATGCTCCACGGGGTAGCCAGTGCCCAGACCCAGAACCGGAGCTCCGTAGCCGCGTCGAGTAACCGACTCCAGATCTCCGGCAAACTGCAGGGGCGTAGAGCTGAGATGCAGTGGATCCGGCACGGATGTGGTGGACAGCAGACTCCGCAACTGCGAGTCGTCCACGAACTTGTAGTCCTCGTGCTGATAGCTCAGCGGGGAGGGTATCTGGAGGGGGTAATAGCTCAGGGCAGATCTCTTTGAGGGTATGGAGTTCACCGGCTCCGGGGTCTCTGTCTGCTCGGCTTCCGCCTGGTCCCTGGGCGTTGAGGTCTCCTCCGGCGGGGGGGCGGACGACGTTATTGCCCCACAGCCAGTATGACACTGTCCGGGCTTAAAGTCCGGATTCAGGGTTTCCGGCATAAACTGTATTATCTCCGGCGCCGTGAGATCTATCTGGGATCGTTCCTGCTCCAGGAGATCGTACTCTCCTTTGATGTCCCGTTTCCTCAAGCGATGACCCAAACCGAAAAATCCGGCGGGGGTTTTCTTGGTCTTCCGCTTGGTCGGTGGGGCTTCTTGAGGGGATTCCACTGGAATCAGCCCAAAGAGCTTTACTTTCTGGGGCTTCTGCTTTACTTTCTGTTTCAGTTGCTGCTGGGCGGACAGGTCCTTGTGGTAGAGCTTCACGTAGCGCGGAGGTCGCTCCTGGAGCTGTTGCTGTCGCATCATTCTTCGGCGGAGGAGTGATCCCGGCTGGCGGAGATCCCTACGCCGGCGGATGGCATTCGACGACCTGGCCGAAGGGGCTACGTACCTGGATTTCTGAGCGGAGCAGCTGGAACATCCGCAGGTCTCCTTGTTCTTGGCCTGGCAATCTGAAAGTCAAGACAAAATATGAGTTTAAAGACTGATTCTTTATCTGTCCGCTTAAGAGAGGTTCAGACTCAAACTGGGAGACTTGTTCTGATTTTTGAAGAGTTCTTAATGGAAGAAATCTAAGAAAGAATAGTCCCTCTCATAAGCTTCTTCATAATTCAAACTTTGTCCGCTTAGGGGAGGTCTTTGTTTGAAGAATGTCTCTTAGTTTGTCCGCTCAAGAGAGGATCACCTCAAGTCGACTTACCCGCCTTGTTGACTGTCACCCGATCCACCTTGGCATAGAGCTTGGCCGGATTGGACTTGGGTGGAGCCGGAGTCCGTGGCTGTTCGACCGTAAAGTCAAAGCTATAGCTGATCTTGGCCTTGGTCTGGACGGGCTTCTCCACCCTATAGCCGTAGTCGTTGGCGGCGTACTTCTTGGGCTTGGGGGGATTGGGAACGTTTAGCTGGTAGCCCAACTGGGTGGGGCAGGCACAGCTCTCGCCGGTATAGACCACCTCGAGGGGCGCCGCCTGGAGCACGGCCATCAGTCCGAGGCCCAAAAAAGCAATTAGGAGTCGCATCTTAGGTTCGGTGTTCTTCACGGTACTCAGCCCTGGTGGCTACTAGCCGCAGATTGCTCCGGAGCATTCTTTATATCATCTGCCCCACATCCACAATCTCTCACGCAGCTCCGGACCCATGCCGAGTGTATACTTGACTTTGACTTTGGACAAGGTTTTTCTCTCCCCATCTGGAGACGCCACCAGTGGTGCTTTTGTGTTTTTGTTTTTGTTTTTGGTTTCGCTGACCTTTTCAAATATTTAGTTTGCGGCGGGTCGTGTTTTCTGTCAAAAGTCATGTTCCCGGCACTCGTACTGCTGCTGCTGGTCTTCAGTGTCGCCACAGTCCGAAGACTGTCCCACTATAGAGTTGGAACTCTTCAAATGAAACAGATCGAAGTGTGTCTACCTTAAGACTTAAATCTTAAACTATGTTCTTAAAGATAGAGTAGGATATGATAAGTATATCTTCCATAATATCCTCCATTTATGATATTATGATATTATTACCATACCTTTTCAAAGAAGACTGATGTCTAATTCTACGTGTCAGCATTTATTAAAAAAGAAACGTGTCTGATGGGAAAGTAAGTATTAAATAAGAAACATTGTTAACACCACTTTAAAGACAATTTTAAGAAGCCATTTAAAGACTTCATTTTTGATAATACTGATGCTTCCAAGACCTTCCCTATAATGCTTTTAAAACCATTTATTTTTATAGCTAACTTAGAGATCCTTAACTTATGTACATATTTACATCCCAAGAGGATCGAGATCAATATTGTTTAGTAGTAACTGCCTTCGGTTTCCAGGCGTTTCGAGTTCCTGTACGAGGTGATCTTGCCGGGCTTGAAGCCGCAGTCCACGGACACCTTGCCGGCCACCTTGCCGTAACTGTCACCAGAGTCCTTGTAGTCCTTGGAGGCGTAGGAGCTGGAGCTAGAGCTGGAGCTGATCTTCTTGAACTTGGGATTCTTGAACTGCTCGGCAGCGTAGCCCAGTTGCTTGTAGGTCAGTTGGGGGGCAGCCTCCTCGTCTCCGGAGGACTGCTCCTCCTCCTCCTCCTCGGCGTACTCCTCCTCCTCCTGCTTGGCCACGTAGGTGCGCTTCTTCAGGGTGATCACCTCGCTCTTCAGCTTGAACAGATTCTCCTCTGGCACGTCCGAGAAGTAGACCTTCTTCTCGCCATCGACGGGCTTCTGGGCGAATCCATAGGCCAGTTTGGCCTCCGGAACATTGATGGCCTTTCCAGCCTGGGCGGCCAGGCTCACACTAATGGGATCCGCCGCCGGACTGTCATCCTGGGTCTTTTCCGCCGCATAAGCGATGCTGTAAGTGATGTTTTTTTTTAGATTTTGTTTTGGTTACTTTTCCGGAGAATCTACTCACTTTCCGTAGACGGAACCGGTGCTGGATGATCCGGCATAGCTGCTGTCTGTCGACTGCTGGCAGGAGCAGGTGGGCTTGCAGGGCGTGGTCTGTTTTGGAGGAGAGCGGTGAAGGTAACTTTTGAGCTTTTGGTTTCAATAGGGTTTCGGATTGGGTTTCGTTTTTCGGATATCTCTTCTCAGGGAGTATCGAATACGGCTTCTATCACCCGCACAACTCCGGGCTTAGAAGCACGTACGGGTAGATATGTATGCCGTATATATACATATATATATATAAATATATATACATATACGTATATATGTGGGGCTGATCTATGTGGTAAGCGATGAGTGATGGTGACGCAAATGCTGATTTTTTGTGGCCTCTGATAAATGCTGGCCGATGCGGAAATTGTTACTGCAGCTGGAGGGGATGACGATGGATGTGGAATGCCACGGCTTACACTGATTACAGTTAGTTACTCTTACGGATGAGGCTTAACCTAAAGCTTATGATGTAGTTAACAATGGTGGTGGCTTATGAATATTCTGGTGCTTTTAAGGTCACTGTCCGTGGTGTAAGTCCTACGACAACTGGGCCAGATGAGGGGTGTGGGATGGGATTAGTCTAGAGCGAGTCTAGTTGTAGCGAGGGCTTCCTGAGCCGCCACGCTTGTAGCAGTCGATGTGCTCCAGACGCTGCAATCGCTCCGCCAGACGCTGGGCCGCCTGGGTCTTGAACTCTATGGCGTTCTCGAGCCACCGGCGACCCAATAAATTATTGAAGGCGTTCATATACTGGAAGATCTCACGTACTTTTCCGCAGGTCTTCGGCAGCTGTGCCGGCTCGATCAGTTGCTTGCTGCACCAGCAGTTGTCGCCGATGGGGGAGAGGTTCACCTCGCTGGGCTCGTAGTAGCGCGGCTTCGGCCGGATCACGGTGGGTCCTTGACAGCCCTGGCAGTAGTCTGAGCCCTTTTCGGAGCACACACAGGCGGCCATTAGCTGGAAGAGACAAGATGGATTTAGAGATGGATTCTGCACTAGATCGGAACTAACGTAGACTTTCGGAAGGTTCTTTTGACCTATAGCCACTTGAATCTGGTATCATCACACACTTTTCTTACCACTTGTATGCTGTACATGGCCAGAAGCAGGCAAAAAATGAGTTTACAGCTTGTTGGCATCATTGTGGGTTTTTTATCTCTCGGATTGCACTGCGGTACTTTGGATACTTTGTATTTATTATTACTTTTATCGGTCGCGTGCTGTGCTCGTGGCTCGTTTAATTCTTGGACTGACAATGGAAGCCCTCATCTGCTTCTTATATATATCGGAGCCCCAGCATTGAGACGAAAGCTCTATTGCTCCCAGATCGTGGTGCATTAGGTGTACAGCAGCCCCATGCTCTCGATTTTCGCCAGTTTTCGATTTCGTCTTAAAAGAAACCTCTGCTCTTGAGACTCTTCGAGGGATTCGAGAGACTTTCTAGCCGAGGGCGAGGGTCAGGTCAGGTTCAGGTGCAGGCTACGTGCTACGTGACTCCCAGATGTGGGGGGCAACACCCACTGTTGGCCCAATGATAATTGTGGAATCAACCGCTGTAGACACCGATGCGATGCTGCCACTGGAACGAACGAATTCCACGAACTTTCAGCGATACGGGTCTCGAGAGTCAACAATGAATGTCAAGTCCGAAAAAAAAAACACTACACAGAGAAATATATTTTACGATTTTCGGATTTTAATTGGAGCACTTGATGGATCTGTTGGGCTCCGGGGAATTTCAGATTAGATGGCCGACTTGTTACCGATCCCGTTCCCGATTCTCGAAATGGGTCAGCGTCATCTGGGGAGGTGACCCGGGCCAGTCGGGAGCAGACTCCATAGAAACGAAATCAGGCCGTTAACCCAATTCCGGATTGTTTTTTTGCGAAATTTTTAATCAAAACAAAGCCCAGGGGGAAAAGGCCCAACTCTGGATGACCAGATCGACTGGTACTTCCTTTTTTAGTCCAAAATCTAAGATATTACAAGGTCTAGAACACGTTTTCGAGTGATATCTATTATATATCAAGTAGCTCCGGATGTTTCCCATGCGATTTCAGAGAATCCACACGTGTTCCAGTCACTAATCGATTGATTAGACTCTCCTCGAAGCATGTGCGATTATTGATTATTGAAGTAATCAGCTTTACAGATTCGTTGTTATGTAATTGTAAATGGATTTTTTCAAGTGACGAGTTCAATGACTGAAAAGTCCGAAAGGTGATAACACTATTAGATTGTTCTGGTGGCTGTACAAGCTTTGATTTTTGTCCAAATCCAGTCATATGTTGTTTTGATGTTTCGATATTCCACTAGCATCTTGTTGCCAAGTCAATGGTTATATCTGATCTTGGAAAGTAAGGTCACATAGGTCACTTAGTGTGTAAACATTTTCCAGATTCGCCCTGGTAGTGTCTGGTTTAGATTGCCAAAAAATAGAGATGACAGGAAAAACAATTATTTTATGGATTATGGATTGCGGGTAATGGCTCGGCAACAGTCTCAGACAGATGATCCCGGACTTATCAGTAGACCGAGTTGTATAAAAGCCCCGGTCCGACATTCCCGAGAGCTCAGAGTGTCGGAAAACGTGTATTCTGAAACCCAATACATAAAGACTAAACTAGAGTCCAGGTATATAGGCGTATATACTTGGTTAATCGGAAAAAGATTATCATTCGCGAAACAGAGTCCAGTTGGTGAAGCCGGCCAAGAATTCGGAATCAGTACAGTTGTACAGCTCAAACGGACAGCAAGTGCGGTTTCAAAAACACCTCCCTAAAGTCTTCCAACAAGCCCCCAAGGAAATCCACAAAAATAAACCACATCATCATGGCAGCAAAGAGAATGGATTTAAATAAGCGCACTTTCCTGGTGCTCAGCGGCACCTCGAATCCTCTGGGCCAGTCCTTGGCTTTGGAGTTCTGCAAGCGTCTGGGCACCGGATCCCTGGCCCTAATCCTGGACGAAGATGACCAGAAGCTGATGAAAGTGAAGGACCTCCTTCGGAACGAACTGAAATCGAAGACTGTCACAATAAAAACTGGCCAGCTCGACGAAAATCACTCGAATGGCTACCTTCTGATGAACCAGATCTTGGAGGAGGCGAAGGATATGCGCTTCGAACGATCCATCGTCCTGCACAACGAGGGCGAGACCGCCACCGAAGTCCTTTTGGAGCCGCAGACCTCCCAGGAGTGGCAGCTGTACGTCCGGAAGCAGCTGTACGGACCCGTGGCGTTGAGCCAGAAATGGCTGCAATCCAAGTACCTGGAGAATGTCGAGAAGCTGGCCGTGAATGTGACCTCGTCCTTGTTGGTGCGACCACTGATCTACGGTGGTCTGCTCTGCTCCTGTAAGCGGGCCAGGGACATGTACTTCCGGGCCATGGCCGCCGAGGAGTCCCGCTCCGGAGTGAGCGTTCTCAGCTTCTCCCCCGGCCTGATGGCCGAACACCAGACCCAGTGCGACGTAAACGGAAACGAGATCCGGGTGGAGGATGTGGTAGCTAGCAAGAAGCTGCTCCAGCTACCCAGGATCCAGCCGGTGCAGGCCACCTTGAAGCTGCTCAACATTCTGGAGGAGATCTCCTTTGTCTCCGGCCACGATGTCGACTACTACGACACCTTTGTTTTATGAGTAGCATCCAGGCGGTGGGCTGCGTCACTCCTGGACACGGTTCTGTACTCGGTCGACGATTTGGACAATGTTTGTGACTTGATTGCCTTGGAAATGAATAAACTCTGGCTGCTGACCCTCATCCTGATCCTGGACGTGCTCGAAACCGATGCACACGAAAAGGAAAACGAAAACCAAACTGTTATTTTTATTATTTTTTGGAGGGAAATGGGGTTTTACTTTCAGGATTTTAGGTTTTTTTTTTTATATATTTTTTTGCTGTGTGATTTTGCTCGTTTTTTATAGTATTTTGAGCAGTTTTCTGTGATATTTTTTGTGTTTAAACGAGGAAGTTTTGAGTAGAACGTGGAGAGATTACCAAAGAAATGTCTACATTTTTTTTACCCTTTTTTTTTAAGTGAAAAGTATCTAAGGTTTTCTAGCAATTTAATTTTATTTTATTTATAAATTCTATTTAGGGAATATCAATTGAGAATCCCCTCCACATGTTTACTTTCCCATTTATGAGTCAGACTACATATATTCCTAGACACTCCATTATATATTCAATGCTCGGGAAAATAATTAAATCAAATGACTTCCACGGTGGCTGGAATTGCGATAAGGAACTGATTTCTCCGGAAGGCATGTGTTTTTATAGTCATGTATTATATATTCATGTCTATATAATATATACAATATATACATGTGTTGACTTTCTCATTGAAACTGTTGCCGAGCTGGAAACGTAAGAGTCTCTTTCGTAAATGATCCTATCTCTTCAAAAAATATATCGCCTCATTGTGGAAAGTTTGGTATGATTTTTAGAAAATGACTATCACTAAAAAAATAATGGTTCTTTGTTGAAATCAATATTACGTAGATGAATAAGTATATTTAGGCAGGTACTGTACAAGGAATACTTTAAGAAACAAGCTTCCTCTCTTTCAAATCCCGCTTACAGATCGAGTTTCCTATTCAAAGTATACTTTTAGGTATTCCTTTTGAGACGGAATATACATATGTACATATATACTTGAGGGCCACAATTTCATGAATAAAACAAAATAACATGGGTGTCATATATTGATCCAAATACAGAACTATATCTCTGTTAATACTAATATGATTCTTGAGCGGAGTACTTTTAAAGATTTATGGATAATTCTGCATTCATTTGCATTAAAACAGCACCCCCAAAAATTTTATAGATTTTTTGTATATTTTTCAATAAAAAATCCATTGGAAAATGCCGGAAAGTGGAGATGTCGGGTATACAGGCCACGGTGATGTCCATATCTTTCTCGGTTCTAGTCCGATCCTTGAGCGGAATACCTTAAAAGATTTGTGGATAAATTCTCCATGCATCTGTATAAAAATCTCATCACATCAAATTTTATAGATTTTTTGTGAATTTTTCCGTGAAACCTTTTGGAAATTAAGGAATAGTGAAGTTTGTGGGCTTATGGGACACGGTGATGCATATATCTTCGGCAATTCTCATCCGATCCTTGAGCTGAATACCTTAAATGAATTGTAGATTAATTGACATTCATAATCTGTATTAAAATTGAATCAAAAATTTTTAAAGATTTTTTTGTGAATTTTTCCATGGAACCCCTTTGAAAAACTGGGAAAGTGGAGTTTCTAGGTATAAGGGTTATAGCGATGGCTATATCTCTGTAAATTTGTATCCAATCATTGGGCGGAATACCTTAAAAGATTTTTTGATCAATTCCCCATTATTCAGCAGTAAAATCTTGTTCCCAAAATTTTTAGAGATTTTTTGCATGGGACCCCTTTGAAAGTCGAACTTTTGGGTATAAGGGGCTATGGCGATGTCTAGATGTTTGTCAATTCTCAGCAGATCCTTGAACCGAATACCTTAAAATGTTTTTGGATCAATTTGTTCTTGATTTACATCAAAATATTTTCACAAAATAATTTATATAATTTTTGTGAATTTTTCTATGGGACCCCTTTGAAAATGTGGGGTGGTCGAGTTGGTGGAGAATAAAGCCCCTGGCGATGTGGATATATTTTTCAATTCTTGATTTCTATTATTTTCTAATAATCCCCCTCTAAATCTCATCAAAATAATTATAGTCTAAGTTCCGCTGCTAACTCTTACGAAGCTTCCATTATCAGGAAAACACACATAATCCATTACCAATTATATTTTACGATTTTAAAGCTTTAGCATCAATACAATGTTGCAGAACTTGGCACCCAGATTGGAACAAACGGTTGTTGTGGAAGTTTTTAGCTGAAGCTCATTGGAAATTGTAATACAAAGTTGCCGAGCTTTTCAAACAGACTGCAGAGGCAACTCTTCTTTTCTCCCCCATTGCTTCAGCGACCTTGGCCTTGACTCTGGCGCTCTGACGTTGGCCAACAGTATTGGCTAACCGGTACTTGCACTTTTGCTGGCGTTTTTAATAGCGATGCGATTAATAAAACATAAGCAATTAATAAAAGAGTCGTTTGAGGGAGACCGGCGATAACCTCTCCCCTTTCCAATTCCTCAAGCGGAGCTTTAAGCGCGAGAGAGCGGGCCAGGAAGCTGGTAGCCAAGGGGGAGAGCCACGAGAGCGACTTGGAGAGGGCCAGAGAGTAATTGAAGGGCAGTGGCATAGGATCTAAGAAAGGGGTAGTACTTCCTTTCTTAATAAATATTAAAGCTTTTGTAGGTGAAGAATAAAAGACCCCCCTCGTTCATCCTTTTCCGAAAGGAGTGCCTCTCGAACCCCTTCTGGAATACTGCCCGCCTACGACCCTGACCAGAGGGAAAGGGGAGCTTTGGTCAGCTGTGCAAAAGCTGCCAAAACGAAGCAGGTAAAAAGCAAGTTAGACAGCCTGACAACTGTTGCTGACAAAGTAGAAAGTAATTTGTGGCAATCCAGGCGAGTACCTCCTTCGGAAACATGAATCTGAGCCAGCGGACTTACCTCATCGTTACCGGAGCATCCCGGGGCATAGGCCGTGAGTTCGCCCAGCAGCTATCCGGTCGCATCGGGCAGGAGGGATCCGTGGTGGCGCTGTTGGGCCGCAATCTGCCGCTTCTCCAGGAGACCAAGGACCACATTTTGGCCAAAAATCCACTCCTAACTGTTCACACGTTCTCCCTGGAACTGTCCACGGCCAAGGCGGGTGACTTTGCCAAGATCTTGGAGGATTCCACCGGCAACGGGGCCTTCGAACGTGCCATAGTGATCCACAATGCCGGCACAGTGGGCGACACCTCGAAACGGGCCAGGGAAATCGGAGATACGGCCCTGCTGCAGAATTACTTCCACACCAACGTATTCTCCTGCATGTCCCTGAACTCCCAGTTCATGAAAGTCTTCCAAAAAGTCCAAAAGTTGATCGTGAATCTCAGCACCTTGGCGGCGATAGCTCCCATCTCTTCGATGGGCTATTACTGCTCGGTGAAGGCGGCCCGTGAGATGTTCTTCCGCGTCCTGGCCCTGGAGGAGAGCGCCCCGGACACTCTCGTTCTCAACTACGCCCCGGGCATGATCGACACCCAGATGACCGTCCAGGTGCAGCAGGAGGCCCATGATCCCGCCATTGTGGCCATGTTCCGGGATCAGCGGGAGACCAACACCATGCTGACCGCTGCCCAGACCACCGAGCGCTTCATAGCAGTCCTCGAGGCGCAGAAGTTCAAGTCCGGCGACCACGTCGACTACAGGGACGAGGAGTATTAGGCCTCCAATCTTTTGAAAATATTTATACAATATGGTTAAGCTCCTTCTGTGGTAAAAGGGTCCAAATAGATGAAACTTTAGTGTTAATCGTTTCCATAAATAAACATACTTACCCTTAGTTGCCTTTATTTGGTAGCTGATAAGGGCTATTCTATGCTGTGGAGAGATCTTTCCATTCATGAGTCTCACGATTCTTATCACGATTAATCAGAAAACTTAAAGAGTCATAACTTAGAAGGCGTCTTAGTTGGTCATCTAGGGCCAGAAACTTTAGTTCGGAGAAGCTTATTTACTTATATTATAAGAACATGTTCCATCACCAAACAAAATAATAGAAAATGATGAGGAAAACCCTTCACTACAAACAATAGCCAGTTAGGTTTCTTGTAAACATTCGATTTTTAATATTCTCCAATGCATTTGGAGGGTGAAGTGTTGTTGGAAAACCGAAAATGATAACAACGGCGTGTGCTAGAAGAAGTCGGCCGCTGTCGCCCGTCTCTTGGTGGGAATCTTCAGCAGATCGTCGGTCAGCGTGGAGCCCGTATCGATGGGCGTGTTCTTGGACGGTGTGCTGATCGTTCGCAGCTGCTGTGGCGTTTGTCTCTGTTGTGGTGTGTTGCTTCTTACGACACCCGGCGTAACTTTCTGTCTCTTGAACCTATTCGGTGATGGGGTGTGCGGCATAACGGGCGATGCTCGGATTCCGATTTTTCCGGTGGCAAATCTTTGAGCTGCCGGCGACATGCTGGCCAAGCGCTCCATGCTGGACCGGATCAGGGGCGATCCGATATTCTTGCGGGCCGTATCCAAAGCCATTTGCTTTTGATTACGCATCTTCTCGCTGACCTTCTCGGCCAGGGCGAGGGCTATGTTCTCACGGCGCGAATTCTCGTTTATCCGGAACGAGGGACCCTGGGTGGGACGCATGGGGGTGTCCCCGCCATCAAGACGAAACGGAGTGCCGTCTATCTCGCCCCAGGTCATTATGGGCGAGAAATCCTCGCCGGGTCGGGGCGAGGGGGTGCGCAGGAGGTCGTAGCCCCTGAATCTGGGCGTGGCTGTGCCATCGCCCGTGCTTAGCGCACAAGCATCGAGTATTGCGACAGCGTCAGCTTTCTTGTTTGACGCTCCCTCGGGGTATTGTGCCTCGTCCGGCAAACGAGTGGCCTTGTGTTGGATGCTTTGCTTTCGTTTTGCCGCCTGGACCCGTTCCTCATCCGTAAGCTCAACACCGTCAGGTACGTACATTACGGAATTCATGTTGGTGTACTTCCATGTCTCGATCATCCGCATCGGATCAGCGCCTTCAAACTGTTTCTCGATGCTGGGCAGCGTCAGGGCCCGCTGCAGTCGCTCCGCCGACATCTTCTCGCAATTAAAGAGCACAGCATACTTCTGGCGGAGCTTGGCCTCTGCCGTTTCAATGATTTCCTGAAAACTATTATTATCCTCGCTGGTGTAGTTATGCAGAAACACGTCCAGTGACATCTTGGAGGCGATGCCTTTCACACAACTTTCAGCGGAACTTTTTTCGGATGGAGACGGGGAGTTGGGTCTGTTTGTTTCTCGGGAGGGAGGCAGTGGCGTACTGCTGCCATTGTTACTTACAGGTGTCTCAAAAGTGGCGGGGGACATGGCTTTAAAGAAGTAGAAGAAACCCATTAGCTCAGCATCTACTTTTAAGTAAGACCGCTTATACACACCATTGTTCCTTTGGTTCCTTAATCTACTACCTCTCCTGGAGCTTCCCATACCGGGAATCCTGCCCAGACTGTAGCGCTCTCGTATTTCCGACATTTGCACGAAATCCCTGCGGGATTCTGCATCCAGGTAATCGTTCTGGGCCCGCAACTTTTCCAGATCCGGGAAGAAGTCGCGCTGTATAATTTTTGCCATCTCCTCGACGTATTTTTCCTCGGTGAGGATCTTTGGTTTGTTTTTGCGACGCACCAGCTCCGTGGGCTTCTTGAATTCCGCCAGCGCCGAGTTCTGGGCTCTGGCCATCTCCATGGCAAGGCTGCCAGGTGTTCCGGGAGTTCCCGGCGTTGCTGGCGTCCTGGGCGTCTCGGACATCGCGTTAAACAAAACTTTTCCTTGATATAAATAGCGTCGCCGTCTAACTTTAGGATGTCGAAATAAATATTTTTGGTTGAAGTATCGATATATCTGTGTTATCGATGTTTGGTTGGTCACACTTATTTTCGCGAACGATAATGCAGATGGTAATAATCGATGTCTGGCAACACTGCTTACAATTATCGATAGTTCTATCGTAAAACGGGATATGGCGGCTTATTTAAATTCAAAGATTGCATATTTTATTGAAATTAACTTAATAAGCCCGTTTAAACAGTTTATATAGACAGTTTATTTATTTATTCAGTTTATTTATTATATAAAATACTAGTTATTATATGTGAAAAAACATATGTTAAGTATGATTTTAGCATAGAGAATGGTGTATTTGTGATACAGATCGTTTGTTTATCTGTTATTCGTTGTTTACTCATTAAATTACATGCAATAGAAAGAGGTACGCTTTTTTAAAGTTTATACACATAGTGTTTTGTTTGCACATTGAATGACTCGTTCAAAGCTTTGGCGTCCATAGCGGGGCTCGTTTGTACCTTGGTAGAGTACAAGCTCGGGTAACTCTAAAACTGTTGATAAAGACACTTGGTGACATTTTGGTGGAACTTTTAATCAGTTGTACTTCAGCGACCACCGCGTTCGTAACCGGGATCTCCGCTAAAAATCCGATCGAGTGCCACAGTGAAAACTATCTAATAACTACATATACCCAACATGAAGTACTACCTGTTAGTCATTGCTGCCGTGTCATTTCTGACCTACATCAGTTGTGGTAAATCGAAACACTAAACCCCACTATTATTTCCCATGTTCTTTTTTTTTTTTTGGTTGGTTTGCATTAAAAGTGACTTATGTAAGCTTCGAGAACCAAAGGTCCAATAAATTGATTGGCTTATATACCGGCCGGCATATCTTATCAATGACTACAAATTCTCCTTGAGTAATATGAAGAAAATATGGCCTAACTTGTGGCTCAAAGTGTGTGTTCAGGGACTAAGTGAGGTGATTGTAAGGTCCCCGTACCTCATAATTTTTCCTCATCATTTTTTTCATGTGCAACTTGCAAATAAATTAAATGCAATTGTGAAATTCCAGCGACATGCTACGGCTAAGAAAACATCTGGCTTTTATATACTATATACAAGACAGTGACATTCGAGACTTTTGATTAGAACTTCCTATGAATCATAAAGTCTGATTCGCGATAGCACCGTCTTGTTTTTGGAATTTTAAGTTGGGGTTTGAATTGAAAGCGAAGTCCGTGGTTACCTAATTCATTGTAAATTTACTCAACTTATCTGGACATAAATATAGTGCTTTTGTTGACTCATATTGGGGGCTTATGTACACCCATTGGCGATAAGAATCGATTAGGAAAAAATGAGATAGCATAGACCAAAAAACCTGGTACAGTGTGTGTCACCTAAATGGGAATCAGGTGTATGGTGGGAGGGGGGTAGGCCTCTTGAAAGGTATCCTATTTAAAGGAACTAAATTTCAAATCTAATCAGGCTACGCCGTGACTCAATCGAAACGCTCCGTTCCCCTCGCTCAATTCGCAGATGGATGCATCCAGTGCCACTCGAAGACCAATGTACGCTGTGCCACCGATCCCCTCTCGATCCTGAACAGGAACTGCTCCGACGGAACCTCCAACTGCTTCTCCCGTGTCGTTGGTAAGTACTTTTCAACATCAATCCCTCTCCTTGGCGAGTTCTATAGGGAGTTCTCGGGGAGTTCCGGGTATCTGGTAGATATTGATTCCTTCAATCCACTCCCGCTTAGATGGTTACACGATTCGTGGTTGTGCCGCCGACCTGAACAACGCCACACGCGCCTCGTGCAACAACGAACTGGAGTGCGTGCTCTGCACCTACTCCGAGGGCTGCAACCGCAACGTGTTCCCCCAGAGCCGGACGCAGTGCCTGCAGTGCTCCGGCAACAACACCTCCTCGTCCTGCGCCGTCGAGACGTACAGCGTGCCCACCATCTGCCCCATCTACAAGTTCGGTGACCGGTGCTACATCCGCAACAGCAACCGCACCGTCGACGGATCCTTCCAGCGCGGCTGCCTCACCACCGCCCAGAGCAACAAGCAGTGCGTTAAGGACGGCAACTGCTTCCTCTGCGACGGCCGTGGCTGCAACTTCCTGAGCGCCAACGACACCCAGATCCCCCTTGCCCGCGACTCTGGCGTCCAGATAGCTCTCTCTATGTCCGTCCTCGTCGGAGCTATGCTCGCCGCCTGGCAATTCTAGGGATCTCTCCGGGATCCGCACCATTATCGGCGGTCACATTAAATTAATTTTTTTTTACAACTCTGCTTTTAATTTGCTTTCCCTTTGAACAAAAATAAAGAACAAATTAAAAAGAAGCGAATGATTTATCCATTATTTTTATTGATCTCTCAGGATCCCGAAATAGAAACGAAACTGTTGGGTAGAAAAGTAACGAAACTATTGATCAAACACTTTGTTTTCTTTGGGGATTTTACGAGGTGCCAACGGGCGGCACTTGACGGTGGCACCCCGATCTGCAGTTGACATCGCGGCACCCCTCCTTGCATCGGACATCGAGCATCCAGACCTAGAACCCGAACCCGAACCACAACCGGAAGCTCTCTCCGCCAATGAGGGGGGAGCGTAAATGTGTCGACGCCTTTCCAATGTTTGTCAATTACTTTTCATGGCTCTCTCTTCCGGGGCCCATTTCCAATCAAATATAGACTATAGACCATATAGTAGTGAATGTTAGAAGAAGTATAAGGATATAACGAAGATTCCTTCATTTTTATTCGATTGCAAATAACGCTTTATCATGATTAGACCTCAACACGTCGACTTCCGGGCTGCCAAATGGAAAACGGAGGATGCTTGGCAACACATGGACTATGCAAGGACGAGAGCTCTACTTCTTCTTGCGGTTTTTCTTGTTCTTCTTCTTGTAGCTGGGCGAGGTGGTCGTGGCGACAGTCTCCACTGCTGGCGGCTTCTTCTCCTCCTTTACCTCCACGCCCTTGGCGTCTGCCAAAGGGAATACCGTGGACGCCAGGCCAAGATCCTTGAAGGGCAGCTCTTTCTCACGATCCAACAGCTCGTCCTGGGGCTTCATCTCATCCTTGGCCTTGGGACGTCGATAGGCGGCGAGGAACTCCAGTTCATCGGAGGACAGGGAGGTGAGATCCTCCAGCTCCTCCTCATCGACTTCCTGCAGCTTGCTGCTGGAGCGGATGACCGCTGGCAGTGCGAACTTGGCCGATCCGCTGCAGGATGGATTGGGAACGTCGCCGCCCATCGACTGGCCGCCTGCAAAACTGCCGGAGGCCTTCACAGCGCCCCCGGTCTTTAACATCTGGTCATAGCTCTCGGTAATGTTGCTGCCAGTGCCGCGCTGCTTCAGCTCAAGCTTGTCCATGTCGCCCTCCTTCTCGCGGAACTGCTTCGGGGTGAACACCAGCGGCTGCCAGAATAGCTCCAGCGTCGACATACGCTTCACGCCGGCGTCCTCGAGGACGCTCTGGTTGGAAAGGATGCGGCCCTTGTACACCAGCCGGCTGAAGCCCATCGGCACGGACATGTTGCGTCCGATCCGAGTCTTCAGGTTGCCGACCGTACCAAACCGGTCGGCCTCGTAGATGCTCTTCCTGCCGTCACGGGTCACCACGAGTATCTGCATCTTGCGCATTGCCGGATATTTGGCCTCCGGAGCCGGCAGATTCCGTGGATAGTGCCTCTTTTTCTAAAGGCTTTCTATCGATCTCTATTTACTTTCCTGTCTGGGCCTATTTTTCAGCCTAACTTGGAAGGTATACGTGTGTTAAATGTGAGGCCTGATCAAGGGATAATTTCGATGATAGCACCAATGTTTGGCCGAAAAGTCTCCATCGAAGTGAGACTAAAAAGGCAGGGCACTGTGATTTGATACAAAAATATTACTGGGTTGTTTTTTTTTGTAAAAATTCATTTTATTTAGGGAGCTAGAGGTAACAAATAGAGTGTAGTCTTCGCCCTTGGAAATAGGCCAACAGAAAATGGGGTTTCTCCCTATATGGCTCACAGTGATGGCTATATCTTCCCCAATTCTTATCCGATTCTTAAGCGGATTACCTTAAACGATTTCTGGATCGATTCCGCACCATTCTGCATTAAAATCCTAAGATAAAATTTTTTTTAGATTATTGGTCCATATTTCTGGGGGGATCCCTTGGAAATGTAGTTTTCCCCTATATGGCCCACTGTGATGGCTATATCTTCCCCAATTCTCATCCGATTCTTGAGCAGATTACCTGAAATGATTTCTGGATCAATTCGCCACCATTCTGATTCAAAATTCTGATACAAATATTTTTTTTTCAGATTTTTGTCTATTTTTCCTGACGAATCCCCTGAAAATGCGGTTTTTCACTATAGGGCCCCCTGTGATGGCTATATCTTTCCCAATTCTCATCCGATTCTCAAGCGGAGTACCTTAAACGATTTCTGGATCGATTCCCTATCTTTCTGCATCAAAATCCCTAGACAAAATATTTTTCAGCTTTTTTGTTCATTTTTCCTGATGGGATCCCTTGAAAAATGTCTCACACAATAGCTGCCCTTGAAAGTAGGCCAGATTTCAGAGGGGTATGCCCGGGTGTACTTGCTTTTAAGAACAATTAGCTAAAGTCTGCTTAAAAAATAAGTGTCTTCCACCACCCACAACCCAGCATATTACTTATATTTAACAAACCTTGAATTATCAATTTAAAGTGAAAAGTTCAAATCGATTAAAGACCAAGGAAATAAAACTGTTGAGTCTCTGTCGATCCAGGCAGTTATCAGCATTTGGAATGGAAATCGTTTCACCTGAGCCATTTTCATTTAATTCGCCACTGTTTACACTTAAACAAATCATTAGCCAGTAATGGCATTGGCAATGCAATAACAATTTTTCAAATTTATGAATTATTTATCGACTTCATGTTGATCAAAAAACCCCTCTCGATGCCTTTAAAAGTATGGCCGAAAAGTTCGAGAAAGAAACCACTTAACTCAAAATAATTGTAAACAGAGCGGTATTGTACCAAAAAAAAAAAATCCAGGAAAAACAATGGCAAGAAGAAAATGCGTTCCATAAATGGATAATGGATAAATCCTGGGCGCAACTGGATGCTTGTCCGGAGATTTATATTGGAGGAGCTGGGTAAACAAATCGCTGGAGGGTACGGCAGGGTGGGCAGGGTAGAAGCCCCTGCCGTACCAGGTAGCGCTAATTGAATGCCTGTGGCTGATGAAAAGCAGATTCCCCCTTTGGCGGAGGGTTGGGGGGTGGTGGAAAGAGGAGCAGGGGGCACAAGAGGCAGCGGGGCAGGAGCATTCACTTTGATCGGATCGGGTTTTGGGTTCTCTTGTCTCCGATCTCGATCCACCTAGGGCAGGGTCCCCCAGGGGTCTAATGGCAAACAGACGCCATTTTTATGGAGCTCCCACCTTGGCCGTCTCGTTCGCCCAAAGCTCTGTCTCACTTCCTCAAATGCACTGAAAAAAAAGCAATCTAAATAATAAAGTATAGTAATTAAGCAGAAAAAACTAATTAAACTATTTTTAAAAAAATTAACAATAAAGGATAATTATCTATTAGTTTTTTTAGGCACTTTTTCTCTCAGTGCTCCTTCACACTCTCTTAATATTCCGTTTCTCCTCTTTACGGTTTATTTAGTGTCGAGGTTATGGCGCAATTTGTATTTATGTGGCAGCACCACTACCACCATCACCATTGCGGCCAAAAAGCACTACCAGGCCGGGACCGCCATGTGGCGGCAGTCCAATTAAAAGCCTTTTCCAAATGAGCTCTATGACTCAGTTTAGCTACCCACTCGCCGGGCCACGCCCACTGTGCCACACGCCCCGTTTCGACTGAAATGTAAACAAAAGCCAGATGGGGATCTCCACCACCCACTCTCCAGCCATCCCCTCAAATTCTTTTTTTTTTTAATTTTTATTGTATTTTTTGAAGAGACCACGCCTTCTTATAGAGAGGGAGAGAGATGAGTTCTCTCAGAAAGATAAAAACTTAAAAAAAAATTAAGATTTAAAAAAATTAAATTTAAAAAATAATATATGTATGTATATGTGGGATTCAAACTTAAAAAAAATTAAAATTAAAAAAAAATTAAATTAAAAAAAATTAAATTTAAAAAAATTAAATTAAAAAAAATTAAATTTAAAAAATAATATATGTATGTACTTAGGACTTAGTTACTTTTATTGACTTCTTCTACCTAACTACTTTTAATAATATCTATGTCGTTATTTCATGTATAAATTCTATATCGTTTATTATTATAATGAATATTATATCGAAAGCCTCAGTCTGTATTTATTATCTTATATCTATGTATTTTAGATCTTACTATCTAAAACCTTAATAATATCTAATCAAACTCCTATTTTCCAACTCTCTTCAAGTGCTACCAGGTTTTAAAGCCTTTTAGTTTCAAGTATGTAGTTTAAGAATTTTCCTACTGAAACCTTAGCAAATCCTCACTGTAGTCCCTTTACTAAGCTAAATACTTCTCAGATACCCTACCTTTAAAGTGCGAAAGCACATATCTTTTAAACAGAACAGATCCTTAAGCGCATATCCTCTAAAACTATCTGTTTAGGTTTAGTTTCCCATTAAAAATGTATTAAAAAAAAACCCCTCAAAGGACCCTGCCCACCTCACCGTAGTGGAAACAGATGTCGTCTAAACCAAACCAAAGATCTCAGTGCTTTGGGTGACGCCTTAGTCCTACGGCGATTGGTGGACCGATCGGCACTTGAACAGAGTCTATATTTGGATGCTGCTGGCGGCGATTGGCGGACGGATATAAACGGGGGGATATATACAGACATATGTATATATCTGTATATAGAATGGTGTGGAGGGTGATCGGTGGGTGTGAAAGAATGATGCTGAAGAGGCCCGGCCCGGCCCGGCCTGGTCCCCGGTCCGTACCGGACGGCATCTCATTCTCATTCGGCGGACAAACGCGTGACGGAACGGATGTGTTGTGCATTTGCATTCGGATCGGGTTCAGAGAAGAGTGTTTAGATTTCTTAGATTCTCGTGGGGCATTCAGAACTAAATATATATTCGGGACTGACGGCCGATACTACACTGCAGCGGTGAAAAAATCAATTCGCACTTGGCCGGAAGAAGGTGGCAATTGAGACAACTCAACGCCTTCGCCAAAGCAAGGAAATTTCTGCCAAAAAAAAATAAGAATTACAAATAAAAAAGCGGCAAACACACATCGAAAGGAAAAACAAATAAAAGAAGTTCAAGTCAATCAATCGATCAGCCAACTAAGAAAAACAAAAAAACAAAAAAAATTCGCCATTCAACACGATCGGGCCATAAAACTAAAAAAACACACAATCGAACCAAAATGCTAGGAAGGAATTAATTTTTCTTCCCAATTCAATTACAATTTCGATACTGACTGACATCCGCGAAAGGTTGTGGCAATTTTTCAACACTTTCCTGTGTTTTTTTTTTTTTGCAGTGTGTTAGTGCCAGTGTGTTAGTGTATATGTATGTGTGTGTGTGAGAGCAATAATCAAATTTGACAACTGCGCGAATAACGTTCGAGATCAAAACATCCCGGCCCCCAAAAACAAATCAAAATAAATGGGCCAAGAATTCAGTGCAATTTTTTTTCCTGTGACCTGCCAATAACAGAATCCAAGCCAATTGGCTAGCATAGTAGTGGCTCTATATATTGTTCAGATATCAGATAGATATTGATAGACACCTGGACTCCAGATGACGCACCTGATGGGTCCCACGGAGTGCGCCAGTGCCATGATGGGCTCCTCGATGCAGTTCCACGACAACGGCCTGGGTCTCAACCTCACGGACTATAGCTGTTACACCAACGACTACTGGACCACGCCCTACCTGACTGGAGGACTCAGTCCCATGAAACAGATTGAAGGTGAGGTTGTTTAGATTTCCACATTCTTTGAATATTTATTTTTCGAGCTTGATTACAAAGCTTTCCTCAGTGTTTAAGCCAGTTTCCCTAAGGAATTTCCAGGGAGTCCCTTATTATTCCTTACTGAATATCCTTTTTATCCTTTCCTTAGAACCTTTTTAGTATCCTTTTTAGAACCTTAAAAATATCCTAATTCTAAGGTTTTTGTTTGAAACCATCAAGAAACTAGACCTATCTAGGTTTTTTTAGAACCTAACTGAAGTATATGAACTGTATTAAGGACTATATATACAAAAAAAGTCGTATATCCTTAACCTTTATACTGTTTACAAGCCTTCTAGTAAACCTATATCTCACATATCTTTCACCTTATTTGGTAGAAAGCCATTTAAAAGAAACTAGACCTCGAGAAACTAGACCTAACTAGGTTTTTTTTAGGACCTAACTAGATTATATGATCTGTATTAAGGACTATATATAGAAAAAAAGTCGTATATCCTTAACCTTTATACTGTTTACAAGCCCTCTAGTAAACCAATACTTCACTCATCTTTCACCTTATTTGCTAAAAAAAAAAAAACAGAAACCATTTAAAACAAATAGTTTACAGTTCATTGGAAAATGTCACAAATCAAAACTCGGATCATTTGTTTGGAAAAGAATTGAAAATTAACCCAGAGTTTGAGCCCGGGTCTATGGATTCCGCTTCTGATACAGTAATTACCAAAATATACGGACCATGGACCGAAACCAGAGCAATTAGCTTCGAATTCCCGGCTCCGAGATACTCAAGTGGCATTTTTCCGCCGCCGTTTTTTCCCGCCGTTGTTGTTGTTTGATGTTGTGGTGTGACAGAAAAACGATTTGTTGTGCCAAACGTTAATTGATTTTAGAATTCATTCGTGAAGCAGCAGCATCAGTAGAATCCAAATAAAAAAAACATACGAAACTAAAAACGGATATCGACTGAAAGATACTTGGTACTTTTAAAAAGAGGATCTGGGAATGTTTTTGAAGAAATTGTTTGACTTTTAAATCAAAATAATAAGTCAAGGCCGAAATGTCCTGGTGGCTCTTTAAGGGTTAAGCATAAGTGTGCCCATAGTTGCTTAAGATGCAGGTTTTTTGCAAAAATCTTATTTTTCCCAAAAAGACTGGGTTATCTATCAAAAGAAATGATTACCAAGACGGTTCTTATGCTTACCTTTTTTTCTTCAAAGTGACTACTTCGAAGTAGTTGGAAATTAAGCCAAAACTTTTCAAGACTATAGCCTTTTTGTTGATTAACTATAAGCTCAAAATGACTTGAAATCCAGTGCTACTTCTCGACAAATAAGACTAGCAATGCGTAAACATGAAAAGGCAAAAGTGTGCCAATGAATTCCTTCCGAAACATTCCACTTAGCCAGGAATTCCCGACAGAGGAAAATGAAACAGCGACCTGTCATAGGTCATTCCCAACGATCCCGCTACTCCATGAGGACGACAACGACGACGACGACGACTACGACGACGACAATTAATTTCAGAAATTTATTCGCGGCGGCAATCCCAATCTGAATCCCAATTCGAAACCGAATTTCCCAGCCCTTGTGAGGACTAATTTTAGAGCGGACCAGCAACTCAATCAGCAGCCTCGGGTCCGACGCCTTTTTATAATTGGATGTTGTTGTCCCATTTGTTCAGGGAGAGGCCCCTGAGGCCTCATTATAAGGCCCCTGATCCCCTGGATCAGGAATCTGCGCCGGCGTGGCGTCACCTTCCACTATCTGCTATCTGCGGCAGTGCCTCCACTTTAAAACGCATAAATCACATTATATATTAAATTAGCAAATCTCAGGGGCTATATATAAATCCATTCATTTGATGTGGATGCTTATAGTGGGCCCGACTAGCTCGACTTGATTTATAGGCGAATATTTTCCGCTCATTTGTCAGGCAAGAGGTTTGTGTGGCCTGGAAAATTAGGTTGAGCACTTAATTGTTTAAATCGAGAGGTGTTTTGATTAGATTTGAATTGAAAAAGAATAGATCTTTATATAATAGACCCTTTGCTAATTATAAAATGTCACATTGCCCCAATAGCCTGCATCCAGACGGCTGGAAAGGATCGCAGCTCGTACAAGCCCCTGGAACAGATCGACGCCAAGCTGGCGGACATCGAGACGCACAGTACTGGTAGCACTGGAACAGTGGCCAGCAGCCACAGCAGCACCAGCAACACCTCCAGCCCCACCAATGCCCGCACTAGCCAGGACCCGGGCACGTCCTTGATGCCCGACTATCCGAATGGCGGTAGCGAGGGGGCGACAGTTGTGTCTGGTTCAGGATCGGGCAGTACGGCAGCCATATCCTCCGAGGTGGGTGGAGGACCCAGTGGAGGGGCCATCTCAGCCAAGAAATACAAAAGCCAATACAAAAAAGACAGCAGTACGGATAATAGTTCCAGCAACGCAGCCAACAGCAGCAACAGCAAGGCGGTAAGTCCTTTTCAAGGATATGAGAGACACCTAGACACCTTAATTTCTTCCAAAATCAAGGACCCAGAACAAGTACATCCCTCCCTGGCCCAGGCCGTTGTAGTCCTGGAGACGAAGGCTCTCTGGGATCAGTTCCACGCCCAGGGCACTGAGATGATCATCACCAAGACGGGTCGCCGTATGTTCCCCACCTTCCAGGTGCGAATCGGAGGCCTCGATCCCCACGCCTCCTACATCTGCATGATGGACTTTGTGCCGATGGATGACAAGCGATATCGCTACGCCTTCCACAAGTGAGTAGTCCAGGGTCTACTTTAGGGACTACTTTGTATAATTGTACAACTTTATAGCTCCTGCTGGGTGGTGGCCGGGAAAGCGGATCCCATTTCCCCGCCCAGAATCCACGTGCATCCCGACTCTCCTGCCGTTGGCGCCAACTGGATGAAGCAAATAGTGTCCTTTGACAAGCTGAAGCTCACAAACAATCAGATGGATGAAAATGGGCATGTAAGTGGCACTATAATATTAAATAATTTCAATTTAGTTTTAATTACTTACCTTATCATCTGATTAATTACATGACTAGTCTTATGACTTCCATTATGTTTTTAATATACTTACAGATAAACCTTGATCTTCCTTATCACTTAATTAATTAAATCTTTATTTATTTTTTTTATTATTTTCCAACAGATTATTTTAAACTCCATGCACCGCTACCAGCCGCGATTCCATTTGGTTTATTTTGCTCAGAAAAATGCGTCCTTGGATGAAAACGCTCATTCAAGCAACTTTCGTACTTTTATATTTCCGGAGACGAGTTTTACGGCCGTAACTGCCTACCAGAATCAGAGGGTTAGTATATAGATAGTGGTTTATTTTATCCCCCACCTCTTAGTGGATTCCCCGGCCCCCTGCATTCAAAAAAAAAAAAACAAGAGGCCGCGACCATTTTGCGCCATTTCGGCCTCATTGTTTATGATTTTTCCATAATTTATAACGACGAGGAGAAGCAAAAGCTCCTCTGGAACAGAACGACCCCATCCATTCCAAATATATTTGAAAATATTTAACAAAAAAAATAATAACAACGAAGTCTTGGATACTCTTCTATATAAGATATCAGAGTTTACTTTTAGGAGCTTTCACGATTATTAAAATAAATGTATGAATATATAAATTATTTTTAATAATTGATGGAACCCTATGACGACCTTATTCGTATTAATCCTTTGACTTTAAAGATATATCTCATATTTTGTGAAAATTTTCAAAAAGAAAACAAAGAAGGGGGACAGAGGATCGGGTAATCGGTTGGCCGAGAACATTTTTCTATAAATACCGCTAGACATGCTCGGAAAGTATTTAAATTATTTATGTGCTCAATGTGGGTGTTAACACTTTTCCTCGGCCTCCTCATCCTTCCCCCCCTTCAACGTATCCCCCTCTAAAAATTACCCCCTTTCCAAATTTATTGCAAATCATTTTCCGTATAGCCCGAGTGGAATTCTAGTTGTAAACATTTTTCTCTAATTTGTTGGGGAATTTAATTTATTTGTTTTGGTTTCAGCTGGCATACTTTTCATACTTTCCAAATCGAATAAAAATATATCTATTTTTCCCCCCTTTTCTATTAATTTTTCTGTTCTTTTTTTTGGTTTTTCATTTCAACAGGTGACACAATTGAAGATTTCCAGCAATCCTTTCGCCAAGGGCTTTCGGGACGATGGCACCAATGATGTGTAAGTATTATACATATATTTCAACTTATTTTATAAATATGCCTATAATATGGTGGACAAATAGTGCGAGTACAAAAGCCATAAATATTTAACTATTCAGGTCAGGGTTTAAGTTTTTAAATTAAATCTGGGGCAAACATATGTTTTCTTAATATTATGAGCAATAAATAGTCAAGTATTCTCAGGGGTTCATAAAATACTCATTACTATTTTTTAATTATAAGAACTGTACTTTTTTTCAGTGCATTTTTCAATCAAAATATAATCGAACTTAATCCACTTACCCCCAACTGTACTTTTTTCTGCACTCATTCCGTTATTTTGAAATCCTTTATTCCTTCATTCTACCCATACACGGGTACCTGTCCTCTGTAACAGGACTTTTGAACTGGGGGCATCCATTCTGGGGGAGAGAGCATCCTCCAGGAATGTCTCGATATTCGAAATAGTTAAATATAGTGTCTAATAATGATATTTATTAATATTAGAACTGTTTTTATTCGAAAAAGCGGTTCAAAATCGAAAAAACCAGCACTTTTCTGCAGACGCGCACTTGCAGTTTTGATTTTTTTTTTCGGCAATAAACATAATGATTTAATAAAATCGTATATTTAAGAATAATGTTTAAACACTTATTCACAACCAACTTGACTTTTGAAACCGATTTATAGGTTTAATTAGGAGATACGGACTCGAAAACACGAAAGGATAAAAATGTAATCCGATCGCGTCGGTGGGCACTTCAAAATGGCTGTTATTGTTTGGTGCGGGGGGGCCAGGGGGTGGTGATGGGACATTTTCGCGTTTTCCAGTACACCTTGTGCAACACTACCTAGGGATTTGTCGCGAAAAAGGGACATTTTTGAATATTAAATTTATGATTTATAGTTAAATTAAAATAGGAAAGTGAATATAGTTAAGGGACTTTAAAAAATAAACCCAATTAGTGATAAATTTCTAAATTATTGAAGTTTATATAAAATAAAAAAAAAAACGTTTCTAAAATAGTTAGTTCTTATAAGACTTACACCTAAAATAAATACTAAAACAATCCCCTTTAGATATCAGTCCAAAGGTGATCTTGATCAGAAATATATATTATATATATTTTTTTAGGCTATCCTTCCCTTCCTTAGAATCTCGTGAACCTTTTAAATGATAAAACCCGCCGTCTATGTCATAAAAAGTGACCCAATTTTTTGGCAGCTTCCACCAACTGTTGGCTCTTGAAGGCCCCCAAGTATTCCCAATCCAAAAATTCCCATCCCTTTACTATTTTCAAAAAAGCCAACTTCAAACCCAAGTGGAACTAGACATTCGGTCGACGGGCAAAGACATTCCCGGAATTGCCGACCCGTCGCAGCAACATAAATATTGGAAAACCCAAAAGATAAATGTATATATCTTCAGACATAGAATAGCCATGGAGAGCGAGACCATGGGCCATAACTCAAAAAAACAAAAGAACTTCAAAATTTGGAACAGAAACGAAAATGGAAATGCTACTGGACCGATGATATGATGATGATGGTGATGGGAGGACTGACAGATGGGCCGGCGGCATAAACAAATCGTCTCTGGGGCTCTGGGATTCTCTAGGGCTTTTCATATTTGTCGATCCGAAGGCACCAGCTTTGTAGCATAGTGTAAACAAATCGGTGGCCTGCAATTTCAAATTGTTTACGACCCACTCCCGCAATTTGTTTATGACAGAAATACTTCAAATAATTTTGTATCCAATTCAAGTTTTTTGGGAATTTATCATTTAAGAATTGAAAGTGTTTTTTTGTTCATATTTTAAATTTATATTTTTTTTTTTTGGTAATTTTTAGGACCAGTGGCGGAGGCAGCAGCATGTCCAGCATGAGTCAAGAAAGCCAGGCTCGCATGAAGCAGCAACAACAACAGCAGCAGCAACAGCAACACCAGCAACAGCAACAACAGCAGCAACTGCAGCAGCAACAGCAGCAACTTAAGGAGCAACGTTCGGCCGGTAGCAACTTCAGCCTAAGTTGCACAGATCTCGGAGTGGAGCAGCAACAGCAGCAGCAGCAACCGAGTGGATTGCAACTGCCGGCCACGCCCTCCAGCAGCTCCACCTCCGGCAACTCCCCGGACCTGCTGGGCTACCAAATGGAGCAGCAATTGCAACAACAGCAACAGCAGCAGCAACATCTGCAGAGTCAGCAATCCCACCAGCAACATCAGGCTGGCCAACAGCAACCGTTGCTGCATCAGGGCCAGAATCAGACCCAATATGGAAGCTATCACCACGGCTATCCGCAGACCCAGATCCAGGCCCATCCCCTCACCCCGCACTCCAGCAGCTCCGCCTCGCCGCCAGCAGCATCTGCAACACCCGCGGCCAACACGGGAGCAACACAACTGAACATCTATTCGAGTATCGGGCAGCCGTACGCCCAGGAACAGAGCAATTTTGGGGCCATCTACCATCATAATGCTGCGGCAGCTGCTGCCGCCCACTACCACCATGGCCACGCCCACTCGCATGGCCATGCCCACGGCCACGCCCCCTATGCCACGGCGTACGATAAGCTGAAGGTGTCGCGGCATGCGGCGGCCTACGGAATGGGTCCTACGTACCCGAGCTTTTACGGCTCGGCGGCCCATCACCAGATGATGCGACCCAACAGTTATATAGATCTGGTTCCGCGCTAGAGGATCCTCAGAGGTCCTTCCAGATCCATGACATACAGTGCTGAAAATGTGCGATATTTTATAGAGGAATAGTGGGGGAGTTGATGTAAGTTTGCCCAGGAAATCGGGCGCAGAGTCCTTTCATTATTATAGCCTAAGGACTACAGATCTCCACTAACTCCACTATTCTTCAAGAAAGCACTTTGTAAATCTTAAAAAAATTGCCTTAAAAACTGTAAATCTTAAAAAATTTCTAAATCAAAACTACAGATTTATGAATCTGGAGATTAAAATCGGTTAGGAATTTAATTATTCTGCCTCAAAAAAATTAGCTAAAATCGGAAACCAAAATTTTAATCTATAAAATACTTTTCCTGATTTTAGACATGTTTTTCTTACAGTGCAGAATTCAAGTATTAGCAGCTGTTGGGCAAAAACCATAAATATAAAAACCAAATATAAATGAAACAAGTATTACAAGTATTTCTATAATTACATTTTTTTTCTCTAGCCTAGATCTTAATTTTATTCATGTGTGTGCCAACATCTATTTTTTTTTTTTGCTGTGTATTTTGTAGATGTAAAAATTGTAATTTTAATGAATACCTTTAATATATACGCGTACGTATTTTTTTTCTTAACATTTTAGTCACTTTTCTTATTCTATGTAAATACCGAATACTGAAACTGAAACAGTTTGAAGAAATAATAATAAAAACAGAAAACATTTCAAAAACCACAAAACACCAAAAAACATAAATTAACAAAAGAAACGGAATCTTTTTTGTTTTTGGTTGGATTTTAAAATGGCCGAAGTCGATGGTTGTGGCGATCGACAATTGGGAAATGGAAAATGCCAGAGGAAAACACGATTTTCATTTACCATTTTGTTTATTTTATAGCGCTTTGTCTCTATCCTGCTCTGGCTGTTGGGTTTAATGGGGTCCTGCTCTCTCTTTCTAAACAAAAAGTGCCGTTGTTATAATTGAGATAAACCAACGAAAGAGCAGATCCCCAAAAAAATTACCGTTAAATGGAATGGGGGGAGTGGGTGGAGATGGAGGAAATAAAACAGAAAGGAATCTCAAAAAAAAAATGGTGGAATTTTAAGGAATTTCTTAGGTTTTTATTGATTTTTAAAGGTTACAAAATGTTGGATAATCTTAAAAATTAAAAAATATTTAAGAAGAATTTAGAAAGCATTACTTAAAGAATTTTAATATTAAAAACTCCAAAAACCAGACAAAGGAAGCTATAAAGCCTTGTATTTCATTTAATTTTTCGATTTTCTTTGATTTTCCGGCTTCTTTGCCTTTGTCGATCTTTTTGTTATCATTATTCGTCCATCGACCCCCAAAAGTTTGATAAGTCTGAAGGAACCCCGACTCTTTAATGTGGTCTGCTGATTGAGAAGACAGATCTCCCACCAATAGACTATATACTATATCTACTTTTTAGACATATCGAGGTATTGACAGGAAATCAAATGAAATGGATTTATTTGGCAAATTAACATTATTTACCCAATAGATCTTTTGGCTTTTGGAAATCCTACAAGTAGCTATATCAATCATATTTCTTTCCCCCAGAAAGAGGGAGCTCGTATTCGTATATTGCTCCACCTATGTAGAACAGTAATAATGTATAGAAATAATCAGCGGGACATCCGACACATGGCTCTGTTATCATTAGTAACGTCACTCGTCTGACTTTTGGTTTAACCTGCCCGTTCCCGTTCCGGGCCTTTCAAAAAATATTTCAATTTCACACGCCCCAACAAAAAAACATATAGGAGGAATACTCGAAAAAAAAACTGACAAGCCATCAAAGTTCCGACATTCATTAGTCACACGGAGTGTACTTTGTGACACGACCGGAATACTTTGTGGAGATTGATTACGCGGCATATTGAACTTTGACCTAAAGATCGGGTATTATATAGAAAAAATATAGAAAGCACAGAATAAGCTAGAATAAGAGGAAATTCCTTATCCATCGCATCTTCAAAGAGCCATTGCATATGTCTAAAATTTAATAACGCTATATATTCTATAGATCCTCCTGCACCCCCATGCCCCTCTCACAATACCCCATTGATGTGGGCCCTCTCATAAATAAGAACAAATTGGCATGCAATTCGCCTTAGAGTAGCGACCAAGTAGAACATAAATTTCTCATCACTTGCATAAAATTTTCACAAAAACAACGCCCAAGAACAAACAGATGTGTCGCCGACGGACAGGAGGAGGGGTTTTGGGATGCCAGGAGTACTACCAGAAGGGGGTGGGGACCTGAAAGAGGGGCACTGCTATGGATCTGTACCTCCCCAAGTTTTATAAAGGAATCTTAAATATTTTCACCTAAAATTGGAATTACTTTTTCGAATGAAACAGACTATGACTGATACACCTGTGATTCACGTAGGCTTGTCTTACACCCTTAGGAAACCGGAATTCCAAAAAATATAGACCATAAAAAATATATTCCAAATATATAGAAATGTGTCAGCTAGTGACTGACTAATATTATAGTCAGTCCCGACTATACAACAAACGATGTTTGTTTCCAGGTATTATCGCATATTTCAAATGATTTCCCGCCGTATCGCTCCCATACTACGGTACAATATTGGCTTCTTGATAAGTGGAAATCGGGGATATGACGTACCATACCATATCTCCCAGGCACTTGACTGCCTGGGTTCACTATAAAATTCGTTAAATTCGACATCTCTTATATACAGACTTATCATTATGTAGTGATAATGCCAAAGATAATGGCTCGAGGACACACAAAGAAAATCTTTCTATATATTTGACTATATTTTGTCAATAATTTCTTATTATTATGATTATTATAGGGCGATGTTTAGTGTATTTCGGTGGGATATGGAAGACCACTTGAAATGGCATGAAATATGGTCAGGAGAGATCATTTGGATGCCACTGTAAAATGAATATTTGGAATATTTATTGTCACCCTGCGCTGTGGTAGGTCCACTCCAAAGACACACACACGCTGGCATTCTGGCTGTAGGTGTGCTGGTGTCGCCCCAATCAATAGCCTGGTGTCAAATAGCTTACCCCCTACCCCTGGGCCAACCCACTCCATCTTTCCCACTCAAGTGGATCGGTACACTTCGAAAAATTTCAAGAGATTCAAGAAATTTTTTATGTATTTCTTTATTGATTTAAGCTTTAAGACTTATTTTAGAATCTTACACATATTTTTTACATATATTTACATGCTGTTTAATTTATTTTCTCTCAGTGTACATCTGGCAAACTGATACTGTTTTTCCTATCGCCTGAATGTTTGCTGTTGTTGCCTCGATTTGTGGCACAAGTTCGGGGCGCATCCGTGGCTAATCGCTTTGAAAGTGAAACCTTGTTTATGTTTTTCCCTTCGATTTTCCGCTCTTCTGCATATTCCACTATGGGTTTTCCGACTTTTCCTTTTCCCGACACGACACTTGAGCCATTGTTTATTCAATTGCAGGAGCCAGGAGCAACATTGCATGTTGCATGTTGCAGGGTATCTATATATGCACATTGTGGAAATTGGAGTAATTATTGGAAAAATATTTACCTTTTCAATTACTTTAAATAGCTTTCCTTATTTAAGTTACTAATTAATTTTAGTTAAACTAATAAAAAGTCCCTTACAGATCACTAGAAAGTCGACTACTTTTTCCCGACTCCCGACTATTTTATCTCCCGACATCGGGCGTCTCAAGTGCTACGACCAACCTCACAAAAAAAAAGGATATCACCCAGAAAAGTATATATAAACTCTGAAAGGACGTCGAAGGAAGTGGAGGGGGGAGAGCAAGGAGCATAGGGAGTGGGTTATCCCTTTTTTTGGGGACGCATGCGCAACTGTCGAGTGCACTTTTGACATATTGCTGACACGCCCACAAACAAATCAGTTTTTTTTTCACGGATCTGTCACTGCTCTCGGCACATACATCCAGTATCCCTTCCTCTATATTTAATTTCCTTACATATGTATGATTGGGTATATATATTTATACCCTTTTCAGCTGGCGCACGTGCTCGTAACAGAAACAACAATGTTGCTGCCGTTTTACGAAGCGTGAAAATTATGAAATAAAAGTGGCATAAAAATAAAAAAACAATCAGTTAATTTTTTTCTCAATCAGTTATGGCAATACCCTTAAAAAAGATGCAGTGATGTTTTAAGATATTCTTTTTATAAATCGGATATGAATTACCATTTGATAGACATCATATATCCAGCAACTTCATTTTCCTACATTTCAAGAAGGGTCCTAAAATAAAATGTAAAAAATCTCCATTAAATTTTTCGTGGTGAGATTTTTATGCAGATAATAGCAAATAAATAAATAGGCTTTTTAGGCATTTCGATCAAGGATCGGATAAGAATTGCTAATGATATAGACATCGCCAAAGCATATATACTCACCAAGTCCGCTTTCTCACATTTTCAAAGGGATTTTTTCCCAAGGAAAATTTCACAAAAAATCTATAAAATTTTTGATAATGTAATTTTGATGTAGATTATTGGAGAATTCATCTACGAATCTTTCAAGATCCGCTTAAGGATCGGACTAAAATTACTAAAGATTAATACATCTCCAGAGCCCATATACCTACGAACCTAACTAGTTCAAATTTTTCAAAAGGAGTCTGATGGAAAAATTCTTAAAAAATTTATAAAATTAATTTTATAGGAAATAGATTTCTTCTTGATTTTTGAGGTATTCTGCATTTGAATTGGTTAAGAGTTAGATATAGATATAGACTTTATCCAGGGATTTCTGGTCAAAAAGTAATAACAAGCAGAATAACCAATTTTCTTGCAAATTATTTTTAATTTAAACGGCTGACTTCGAATGCCAATTAATATTACACAATGCTCTGGAACATAACAAATTATGAGGATTTATTAATGGCTGTTACTTTCCTGTTTTCGGAGGGGACTTCTGGGCTGTGTCGATTCAACGGAAATTGAGCGCATAATTCAGAAATATGTTAGTGCCTACCAAAATGTCGTGCCATAAAAATCGTGTTGAAAAGCGCGGAGGAAGATATAGAATCCCGATCCTGGGCACTGCACCGCCCTCTGGCGAGGAGTTGGGGCACTTACCGAAATTAATGCCACCGATGACAACTCGGGCAAACAATAAAAGGCGAAGCCACTCCAAAAATAGCGGTTCAAAAGGGAGAGAGTGCAAGGGAAATGGAAAAGGGACGACACATCGGCATCGGGGAAATTATGAATGAGAGGGCAGCATACAGGGGCTCCAAGGGGGTAAGAAAGAGAGCGAGCGGGGAAAGTGTGGGGACATAGCTGGGGCTGCTGCACAATTATTGCCGACTGTTAAAAGATTTGTTGGCACTGAGAAATCGTAGGGCGAAACATTTGTTTGATAATGATAATGGCCATGTTGATGCAATTGCAGTGCGCAACCGAGAAATGCAGTTTCCAGAGCGAAATTGAGTCATTTCCACTCGGCATTATTGACAAATGGAATTAAGTAGCAGTGGGTTCGAATCGCCAATCACGGATCAATGATCTCCATTTACGAAGCAAAGGAAAAAACACTGATAATGGTAATAATGGGTCAATTGACACAATAATAAGAATTGTTTTTATTATCTGGATTATCAGTTTGGCACATAACAACCAAGAAAATTAATTTTAATAAAAAAACTAAAACTAAATCAAGTTTGGAAAAAAAAGGAATAGAGGAAAAAACATAACCTAATCTAAATAAAGCATATTTTCTGCAACACGTTCTTAGTCATCGTTGATTTTTAATTTAGACTTTAGAATTGTTTTAATTAAATATTCAAATGAATGCTATCGATAACATTGGCGCCAGTTTTTGGATCCACAGGTGTTGCCACATAAAAATATCGGCAGTATTTTGGCGCTCTAGCTAAGGTCACACTTGTGTTATTGTTATCCGCAAAGTCCAGAATTTTTATCAAAATATTTAGTTATTAAAAAAATGAGAAGCAGAAAGCGTTAAACGCATTGTCTGGCTCAAGTCCAACTAACCCCTTTAATGCAATAACAACCAAAGACATTATTTTAAACTAAATTTTATGTGAGCAAAAAAAAAACCGCGTGAAAAGATTGCAACTTTTTGGATATTGGAATTTTAGTCCTAAAAATTTTTAAATATTAATAAGATCTGATACTGGGAATGCTTAGCATTAATATCAGCACCGAAAACTGTTGATTACAAAAGTTTTCTTGATTTTGGAATAATATTTTAATGTGTAAGCACGTTAAAACAACAATAAAAAAATTGCACAATTAAAAGGTGACAAAATGAGATACACAAAATTTGCATTTTATACTAATTTTTGGATTTTAATTAAAATATTTTAGATGTCGGACTCAATGATAGTTTGTGTGAGCGACTATTGGCAGCGTTGTCACTTTCTGAATCGTCCAGATCGGCAGGCTGGAGACTCCTGTCACAATGGGAAAACCGTGCGCAGGCTGGTGATCCAGCTGGACGCCATCAATGGCAACTATTACCTTCGGGAGATGGTGCAGCAGACCGCCCTGGCCGATCGATTAAAGCGCGTCCATGGAGTGCAGCTGGTTTGGCTTCAGTTCCACCCGCCGGAGAGGGACACCATCGACTACAAGTGGGCGGACATGCTCGCCCATACCTTGTGGGAGCACATCGAGGTGGAGCACCTCATGTCCTGGCTGTCCACCCTGGGCGGTGGCTTCTCAGCCCTTGGAGAGCAGTTCGGGAAATGTGTAAGTCTGTTAGGCTGACCTTTTTGGAACAAAGAGCGGGAGGATTAGACAAGGAGTGGAAGGATGTTAATCACCTATCTGATTATAATTAATTTATATACTTTATGTTGTGTAATTAAACGAGTATTATAGTTAGTTCTCATTAAGTTGAGAGTCCAACCACCTGTGGAATCATTCCATTTGCTTGCCTAATCCTTCATTCCGAAGGATCTTGTGTCTCTTTTTCATTCACTAATCCCCAAAAAAAACCCAACTTATTTCCAGGCTGAAACCGCTGGCAAGATCTCTTTGCAGCAACTGAAGATTGGAATGCGATTGGGGGATCCCTTTTTGCAGGCCCGCTGCAAGCTCTACTACAGCATCTCGCTAATCCAGCGCGGCCACCTGCGCTCCGCCAAGCATCTCATCCGGCAGCAGTACGCCTTCGCCAGGCACCACGTCGAGGCGGACGGTCGGCTGGTGCGGATGTGCCAGGGCATTTGGTTGCGGCTACAGTACGAGTACGAGCAGCGGAGAATCCAAAAGAAGTTAGCTTAAGACCCAATGGGATGGATGGATGAATCGACAATTATTAAAATGATATTGCCAGCTGGCGGCTGGCGAGTTCCTTTCTGTGTTTAATTCCAACTCCAAGTTGTACAAGAACAAAATAATTGTATTCAATATATTTATTTAATAATTGTAATTGTATATACGTAAAAAATGCATTTACATTATTCTTCGTGTTTATTTACTCGCTTGAATTGTATATTTATATATGTATATATATATAATTTTGTTTATATATATTCAACTGCCCGCCGGACTGCCAAAATCGAAGATAAACATAATTCGGGGATGAGAACTGATCAATTTTTTTTACTTAAGCTAAACACAAAAATATTGATACAAAGAATTGACGCCCACTAGTGCTTCTGTTTAGATTCGATGCGTAAAATATTGCGCTTGCACAGAGGATAGATGAAGATTTTGACAAATATATGATCCGAACAAAAAAAAATATCCCAATATCAAATACGGTACACGGTACGTTACACACAAAAAAACATAATCGACTAAAAAAAGGACAGAAAAAAATATTGCGCTGAAAATTTAACACTAAAGTTGGAAAGGTTTGTTCTGATTCTGTATCGGATTCGGATGCTGCTGTTATTGCTGGTGCGCTGCTGCTGGTGTTTTTGCTGATCGTAAAGCTTTGTATATATTGTAATTAAATATACGTGTATCCTTCCTGCTTGGATTTACTGCGCCAGCGTGCCCATGGGATCCCAGGCGGGCAGGACGATCGGATCCATGTCGAACACGCGCAGCACATCCTCCGGTACGTATTTCTTGTCCACAACAACCTCGAATCCGAATTCCCTGAACCAATCGGCGCACATGACCAGGTAGCCCTTCTCGCCACGATCCTCGCCCCACGAGTTCTCCACCCGCAGCTTTTGGGCCACACCGCTTTTCTGTAAAGATTAAGAGGTAGATTAGAGGTAGTTCCTCCATTCTAGATTCTAGAAACTCACATCGACCGAGACAGCTGTAAAGACCATGGCATGGGTCATGGCTGACTCTCCGTAAATGAGACGATCCGCCTTGGAAAACGTCGTTTGTATATCGATATCAAAGACCAGCTTAAAATCATGGCTAAAGGGGATGGGGGGCTCAGATTAGTGACAGAAATAACAAGATATTCCGAGAGGGGCAACTCACACGTCCACATCCTCGATACCCTGCTTGGAGGCAAAGCGCTTGCTGACCTCGCATCCGAACCAAACTGCCTCGCCGGCCTTCAGGGACTTGGTAACAACGGCCAGCAGCAGATCCACGTTCTGGTTGTTGTAGAGGACGGGCCGCCCACCGACCACATTGCCCAGACAGTCGACGGTGTAGGCCTGATCGTATCTGCTTGTCGGCCGCGGATCGGTCACCAAGCAGACCTTGTCCTCCACGTTGAAGTGCGGCTTCACGTAGCGCTCGTAGAACTCCAGCGAGCTGACTGGACCGATCGACTGGTAGTTCTTGCTCTTGTCGTAGTACTCCCAGGTGAAGGTCTCTGCGGGAATGCCGAGACAAATGCCCACCACCTTGTAGATCTCGGCCATTTGCTCCTGGATCTTGGCGGCGACCACCTCCTCCGAGGGATTCTGCTCCATCAGCACGCGCAGATGGCGAGCATACTCCCGGAGCTGTTGGAAATGTAAGTAGGGATGTGAGTTACTCCAAAGAAAGCCAAAAATCCATTGGGTTGACTCACCTTGCTCTTCAATATGGCATTCATTCGTATGCTGGACTCGCAGCTAAAGCTCTCGGGGAAGCATTTCTTTGGCATCAGACCGTGTTTGGTTATCAGATTGACCAGCATGTCCCACTGGCCGCCGTCCGAGGTGGGATCGAGTAGCAGGAAGGACACCAGTCGTCCGTCAACCTTCTCGCCCCGCTGGGCTGTCTTCACGATGTTGTTGAGGAAGTAGTTGCACCGCTCGATCTTGTCCCAGTAGAAGAGGAAGGCCTGCGAGAACTCAAACTCGTCCAGGTTGTAGTTCTTCATGAAGGGCAGGCGGATGCAGTTGAGGGCCGCGAAGAGCCAGCAGCGGCCGGAGCTGCGTTGATTGGTCACCGGCTTGCCCTCCGTCTCCACCTTGTAGTTGAACACATGGTTGGTCGTCTCCAGTGCCTTGCGGGACAGACACACATCGAAGGGATCCACGCGGGAGCAGACGTTCTGAGCCAGCAGGTTCTTCGGCTCTCTGTAGAAGTTGCGGCGCCACTGGGCGAGCAGTTCATCGGTGATGGCACTCGGACTGGGCCCGGCCGCCAGGCACGTGGAGTTCTTGGCACAGCAGGTGGCATTGTTGTGGCCGCCACCGCCACCGCCACCTCCGCCACCGCCACCCGAACCGCTATTGTTGTCAGCTAGAAGTAAATGGGAATTGCAACGTTCGCCCGATATTGAGTGATTGAGTCTTATGGATAATGGATCCCGGCGCTGCCACATCCTCCCAGGACTTGGTTCTTGATTTGGACTTTGATTTGGATTCGAATTCTTGCTTTTGAACTTGATCTTGAGGCGGCCCTCTTGACAGGCTAACTGATGCAGCAAGCGCACCCGCTTCGCCGCCCAAACTTTTGCGTTTTTCAGAATCGGGATCGGGATCAGGAGCAGGATCGCAAGGAGCAGGTAAACCAAAAACGAGAATTTTGTCAAGACGATTACAGGTGAATTTTGTTGCTGCCCACTCGGAACATTAAAAAAAAAAAATAAATTTAACGCCGAAGGAGACAGGAATTCAAAATACGTGTGGATCTAAGCTGCTGGAAACCTACCTGATAGGGACATTTTTCAAAAAGCCGACATTCAAAACTAAAGCCAAAAAACTACATAAAGCTTTTCCAACACAAAATTTTTATAAACTATTATCGAGATTGTTGTTACAAAAATATTTGAATTATAAATTGTATTCGAGATAGTGTTTGGGGCAGACATAAGGGACATGGGCAGCTGGTGTCTTTGAAATGGATTGGCAGCATTAATTATAACCCTAATTATGGTGAGACTTCTTGAGAAACAACATGATCTTGAGGAGCGAGTATAATTCTACCGTTTGCCATAAAATACGTCTTCTGATAAACAATCTTTTGTTGATAAAATTTTCAGAAAATTTTCCACTAAACGAGGGTGCTGGGAAAACAATACCCGATCGTTTTCCCGATCCTTAACGGGAAAATGTCATTTGTTTATTATTGATACCCGATACTGGGACAGTAAGAAAATGGTACGTTAGAGTGGAAATATTGGCCCTCTTTGGAGCCAAGATTGCGTCACAAAAGCACTTCCTTCTTGGCCAACTTCCAGGGCTTCCCGCCCGCTTGAGAATCGTCTCCCAGTATTATTGAGGAACGGAAAAGCGTCAACAGCTGCGGGGCCATTAACACTGCATTTTTGCATTAACTGACTGGCAAGTGTGTCGCCATTTCTCCCATGACACCCATCCGATCCCATCCCATCCCAACCCATACGTGTGTGTGTATGAGTAGTGTGCACTTTGGATCTCTGTTTTTATATTTTTTTTTTCTTTGTTAGGCGGCGCAGGTTTTTGTTTATTATTTATTTACTTTCGCCATTCTGCAGCTGTGGGTGTTATTTCTGGATATTTTTGTTGCCTGGTGCCTGTCCAGATGCTGATAAGCGGAGCTAACGAGTTAATAATCGTAAAGAAATAAAGAAATACGCCAGCGGCGTAACTACAGCTGGAAAAGCGAAACCTATTATTATTACCGTTACTCAGAGCTGGAGATTTGGCAAGGAACAAATCCCGTTAAATGGTGATTTGTCACGTGGTTTAAGTATCTCTTTTTTGAGCAAAAAAAAATCGAAAAAGGGGGCATAAACATAAAAATATGTGTTTAAAGGGCGTTTCACCCTAAACATTTTAGTCTGCCTACGCCTCTGCCTCATTGTGCATACAAGTATAGGTATATATGTATGTGTGTGTGTGGCGTTGGTGGGAAAGAGAGGACGATGCAATTAAACCAGTTTAACGGGACTCGCATACACGTAGGCATAGCGGGTGGAGAAAAGAACGAAGAAAGGGGTGGGAGGAGAGGAGGAGACGACAGAAGAAAGAAGGAGCCACCAAAAAAACTTTCGCAGAAAGCCGGTGCAAAAAATCTAAACAAACCAACCAACCAATCACAACAACAACATGAAACGGAAGGGTTAACCAACAACAACAACAACTACTAAACAAAATCACAAAAAAAAAAAAACTTGTTTGTCCAGTGCGGCGAATGTGTTTGCAAAGCAAGAGAGCAAACAAAATTTGGGTGAAATTTTACTTTCGTCTGCTTTAATTTGTTTTTGTTGCTGGGGCGTCAGCAAGCCTTTGGCATCTCCCTCGCACTCATGCAAGAGCACCCGCACTGAGCACAACAACAACAAAACAGTTTCCGACTAAAATGGTTCCTTTTCTTTTCTTCTAAATTGTTGTTATTCTCAAGGCATTTGATTAGTTTTCAGTCTGATAAGGAGCAGAGGTGGGGGATGCGCGTCCTACTTACACATGATTCACTTTTTTCCTTTCTTTTCTTTATGAGGATTTTCACTTGTTTTGTTTTTTTTTTTTTTAATTTTTTTTTGTGTTTGGTCACTACAAATTTAATTCGGATTTATTCCGCTATTCTGGCCGGATCAGATGTGTGAGCAATAGGAGCAACTATTGGCGACTGTAATTATGCGCAATATAGCCGCTTATTTATTTTGTAAATGTAATGGGGGAAAATGAAAATGAAAAATGTTTGGCTTTGGGATCCGAAACTAGAGATGGGCGTTGTGTGGCCGCTGCGATGAATTTCCCACTACCAGCTCACGTCCCACTATCGCACAAACCGCCAACGATCGATAACATTTTAAATTTTTATCTTAATTATTTCTAGTTTTTTAAACGTATTTAGTTAATAAATGTCAAATTACTTATTTTTGTTTTTTAAAAATGAATTTATTAAACTTTTTCAATCATAATATCTCTAATGAATCGGTTTATTTTTTGTTCACGATATTGTAAAATAACTTTTTATTGAAAGTTGAGCTTAAAGATAGTTAAGTAATTATAAAGCTTTAAAATGTTTATTGAACCCTATTTTATTTTCAAAGTGACAATTTTAAAAACATTAATCTTGTGAAATAGTTAGAATATTAGTTTTTTATGAGTTTTTCTTTCCTATCCCTAAGGGATATCCTGAAAGGGACACGGTAAAAGCTATTTTTTTTCTCAAATTTAATGTATATTACATAATCTAGTGATTTAATCTACATAATATGCATATAATTATTGTAATCAAAATAATTTTCAAATAAACCGCCAATTGTGTGGCTCGCAGGTATGAGCACGGTATCCACTTACACGCACGGGCCTTTTAATAATCGATGCAAATCGGGCACACTTTTTGTCGAACGAATTAAACTCAAACCGAACCATTCGTATTTCTTTTACATCGCTTCGCTGCCCGTGGTATCCTTTGTGATAGCCTGTCCCCAGGTCATTCCGACCTGGTCATATATTCATTGGACAGACATTGTCCGTAGCTCTTCCCGATCCCAATTCCCAATGGAATTGCACTAGTAACTGTCGAGGAGAAGTATCGAAAGTCGCGTGTTATATAGTATCCAAATCCGAATTCCAAATCGGGGAAGTCATGGCGGAGTTCGACAAGTTTAGGTATTACCTCGAGAAGCATTATGCCCTACCGCTGGACGTCAAAAACGATATTGTTTATTGTCAACGGGCGATGCGCGATTTCCTAAAAGTTCATGGGGTAAGCAATTGGGTGAACGGGGAGCGGGGCTACATCTTTCAATTAAACATTTTATCAATTGTCTAACATCATTTTTGATCTTCTTCTATCCGATTTCCTCCCAGTTGGTGTCCGATGTCTTCAAGGAGCAGCACGATGCGGTGAGTTTTACAGTTATATATTGCGAATTTTCTTTGTTCCAAACAGAGCAGAGTTGCCACTTATTCGGGCGCCTTTAGTTCCGGAATCTCGGTCGCCGCAAACCCGAAGCATGTGTCGTAATTTTCAAAGGAGTTTTAGCTTTGCTTTTAAGTTAATCCATGCTTTAAAGGTGTACCTAAAATTAGTTAATAGATTTTAATAACTTGATGCTGGAAAAGGCAAAAAAAAAACCACCTTAGATCCCACATCAATGGAGTGAGTCAGCCGAATGTCAAATTCTCGTTAGAAAATCTAGAAGGTTTTACAAAAAACACCAGACTACTATGATTCGATTTTTTAAATAATACTTAGGTATGCTAAGAGTTGAGTTAAACAGAGTATCATATATAAATAAAGAAGAAGAAAATTTTCAAAACTTTTAGAAATTTTTTGCAGTGTACTGCCAGATCATTGATTTCATTATCACCTCAATCGAAGCTAATTTAAAATTCATATTTAATGCGCCAACCACGTTTTCATTTTCATTCAAAACAGGATCCCGTGCAGATGCGCCGAATTCTGGAAGAACTGGAGGACGAATTGTGCGAAATTAACGCCGAGCAGCAGTACCTGCTGTTGCGTTTGAACGATGACCTGGATATGTTCTTGCGGAAGCTGCAGGACAAGAATATAGCCAGCATTCCAGATCTGGTCAACGAATACGTTTCCAGCCAGATAGTGCCTTTGATCTCTGATATTACATACCAAATAAGACCGCATTCGGTGGTTAGTCGGGACAACGAGGAGATGCTCATCCGGAAGCACTTCCTGCTGAGTCAGGACGAGGAGGCGGGCGTCCCGCCGCTGAAGCTGAGTGACCTCGACGAGAGCATCCCCCTCGTGCTGGCCCCGCCTGTCGTGGGCTTGGGGCAGCAGATAGCTGCCGTCCAGCCGATAATTAATTGGCCGCAAATGGACACGCACGCGATACCGCTGCCGGAACCGACATCGCACGATTCTCAGGAATTCTCGGATATCCCGAGGTCCTTACTGATCAATAGGATCGAAGTGGAAGCCATACCCATTAAGAGAAAGAAAATTACTTGTACCTCACCGCCGCCATTGGCGCCGATCACTAAGACAGCCGTAGTAGTGGCTACTGTTCCGGCCGCTCAAAAGAGTCCCCCTGAGGATTTCGAGGTGGTAGCCCAGAGCCGTAAGAACCTTCAGCAGGCCCTGAAGCGAGCCAGGAAGACCAAGCAACAGCCCCGGCTGTGTGAAGAGGACCTGGAGCTGAGCATGGAGGGTGCCAAGAGGGCCAGAAAGACTCCACCTCTGGAAAATCAGAATCAAACTCATAATGCCAATACATACGGCAAAAAATCGCAAGTGCCATCGAATCAAGTGCCATCACAGGGTTCATCGCAGAAGAACTCGTACAAAACTCGTAATACACGCCGCAAATCCTCACCACCGCCGCCACCTAATGCTCAATCGCAAACGGGTGGCTCGCCTTCGGGCGGCAGCTCCGATGATTCCAGTGCCGAGCTGCAGCAGGAGCAGCAGCGTCTGTTCGCCTCGGCGGCCCAGTGGCGTGACGAGCCGCGCGAAACTCGCGTCATGCCAACGGAGTACGGCCAGGAGCCGTTCCTCCGACTGTTCGGCCTCTACACGCCGGAGGTGCTCAAGAAACTCAATCAGCGTCACTCGAAACGCAAGCGTCGCACTGTCCAGAATGCCAGCGGTGTGGACTTCCACTACGGCCAGCAGCTGAGCGCAATGGACAATCTCGTCCTGGGCATACGTGGCCATAAGAAGGTGAAGGAGAAACCGGAATTCCTTCTCTCACCGAAGGAGAAACGCTTGCAGGCGGTCACTAAGCGGGCTTACAATCGCAAGAGCAAGACACCCGATAAGATAACCATTACAGTTACCACAATTCCACCTGGATCGGGAAGTGGCGGTGCTTTCGCGCCCTGCCAGCATGGCGAGAGCAGCAGCTTCCAATGCCGCAAGTGTCGCAGTTGCAAGGTTTGCAAACGCAAAGTAGGTGAGTAATCCGAATGACCCACTTTTGAGAGGTCTACCCTTTTTGAATATATTATTCACCCTCGTTCTCCTTCCATTTCAGAGAAAGATTCGGTGGCCTGTAAATTTTGTGGTGGCTTCTATCACTTGGATTGCCACGAGTTCACCAAAAATCGTCATCACGTCCACTGGCAGCACTCTCGCTGCCCGTCGTGTTTGCGAGATCAGATCGAAAAGTCCCGGGACAAGGACACCAAATGAGGAAGATAATCGGACTACCGTCCAAAAAAAAAAAAAAACAAAACAAAACAAAAACATTTTTATGCGTTGCGTTGGCAAACTACCATTGTTGAAAGGTTTCTTTTTTAGTTTTTATCTTTTTTTTTTTTTATATCTCAACTTACTCAGCTACTCGCCTGTTTGTGAATCGTTTTATTTTTTATTTTCTATCGAAACAACTTTATTCTTAATCACATTTAACCAAACAAGGAAGACACACATTTACGTTGATATGCCAAAGTGCATACAAAAAAGAAAAGTGATTCACAAAATATTAAAACACATATTGTTGCTTTTACAAAAAATAATAAAAAGTGTATGTGGAAACTTGTTTAATTAATTAGTTTTTTTTTTAACTGATTTGGAAAGGGAAAGTGAGGAGTTTTGGCTAATAAAGGTCTTTGTCTTAAAAGGCCTTGGCCTACTTGGCTTCATTTTTTGTGAGTCATGGTGGGATTTTCCACAAAATTAAATAAGAAAGGTGAGAATAAATATTTCTAAATTGGTAACTCTCCAAAAAGGCCCCACAAATTAAATTAAAATTTAATACCTAAAATATTAAATAAAACATTAAGATATTTATTTTTAAAAACGTATAAAAATCAGGCCTAAAAGGTAGCCCTTGTATTGCATTTCTTTTTGTTGAGTATTATAGAAAAAAAAATAATGTATATACATTGCACGCTGGAATGATTGCACTAGTCTAGGATCGGAAGAGCACCGCAGTCAAGATCGGCAGCAGGATCATCAGGGGCAGGGTAAGTCCTTCGCGGGACAAACTCCTCGCTCCGTTGCACAAGTCGCCCTGGCAGAAGCACATGTAGACCTTCTTGTAGTTGTAGATCGTGTCCGCACATCGGTCCATGTTGTCGTCCGGACCGCGTTGGACGCACATCCTCTGGGTGGCCAAGTCGTAGTCGTCGATGGCATAGGTGCCGCCACCCTCGATCACCTTGCCGCACCAGCCGCTGGCGCAGGGTATCGCCATGAGTCCTGGCTCGCTGTCCACGTCCGTGGCATTGAAGGTGAATGGATCCTTGCAACTGCCCAATTCACCACGGGATCTACATTGGTAGCAGCGACGCAGTAGGCCTGGAAATATTTAAAATTATTAAAGGTTGTTCGCAACACTACTTCTATTTGACATAAGCTAAAATCGTCACAGAATGATGAGCTATTTAAGCTTGAAAGGAAAATCTATCCCGGCAACCCAGCGCCCGGACGGCACATGGCGCAAGGCACGCAAAGTTAAGGACGGCTACGTGCCACAGGAGGAGGTGCCACTGTACGTGAGTAAGGGCAAGCAGATGGCGGGACAGCAGCGACTTACATTGCCGCCTGGCATGAGTCCGGCTCCGGAGTCCGGCAAGAAGGAGCGCGGGATCTTGGAGCGCGGCAGATTCAGTTTGCCGTCTGGAATGGGTCCTTCCGGGACCGACGAGAGGCAGAAGGAGCGTGAACTCTGGGTGCGCACCAGATTCAGTTTGCCGTCTGGAATGAATCCTTCTAAGATCGCGGAAACTATGGAGCAGGAGCAAAAGGAACGCACCAAATTCAGATTGGCGCTTGGCTTGAGTTCTGCGAAGAGTGCGGAGACGAAGAAGGAGCGCACCACATTCAGTTTGTCGTCTGGAATGAATCCTTCTAAGACCGCGCAAACTATGGAGCAGGTGCAAGAGGAACGCACCAAAATTAGATTGGCGCTTGGCATGAGACCTGCCGGGACGACGAAAGAGAGCGACGAGCGCACCAGATTCAGTTTGCCGTCTGGAATAAATCCTGCTACGACTGCCGGTACCAAGAAGGATCGAAAACTCTGTGAGTGCACCAGATTCAAGTTGCCGCCTGGCATGAGTCCTGCCACGACGGCAGAAACGAAAAAGGAGCGTGAGCTCTGGGATCGTACTAGAGCCAGGAAGCTGGCCATGGAAGTGGCGAAGAATTCCAAGCCGCCAACGCCGGTCGTTCCCACTACGCCAACTTCGTCTCAGCTGCTCAAACCCATAAAACTCTTAATAAGCCAGCAGATCGACGACATATGCAAGATTTTCGAAAAGCTGAAGCTAGATTCATCTCTCGAGGAAGAAGCTGCTGAAATAGCTACGAAAAAAAATTCGAGCAATTGAACAAATCAAGATTAGGATCAGGTTAGGACAAACTTGGAGAGCCATCCTGACCGGGGTCGATCATATCCCCAAGTCAGAAGAAGTCAACTTCCAATCTTAGACAAGATTGTTAATGCTTCCCAATCACCTTGTAAACTGATTAGAGATCCGCCTGTACACAAATAATAACTTGAATGCATACGACTTTTACATATTAACTTTGTAAATCAAATTTAATAAATTAAACCCATTAAATAAACCCAATAAGAGCAAGCCCTTTTTAAGAATAACAATAAAATAGCTTTATATTATAATCTTTATATTTTAAAGAAGGAGCGCGATAAAGTTAGAAAATAAGAAAAAAAAACTCCGAAAAAATTGGGAGATCTTTTGTGAAAGTCTTTTTTAAAATGTTTTTTTAATTAAGGTTAGTTATGGAATTAAAAAAAAAAAAACACTCCAATAATACTTCAATTTTCCTTAGGTTTTAAACGTTTTTAGTAAATTTTATGGTTAATTTTATTAAATAAAACACAAATTCCAGTTTAAAAATAAAACCAGAACACCAATACATGCAATGATTGCATACAAGTGCAACGTAACACATGTATGAATAAAACAAAAGACTTCTGCGGAACACGAACTCGTTTTTATTCCACTTACCTTCCTAAAGACTTACCATCGATTTGGACCAAGCTTATAAGAAATATCACAGCCAGGAAAAATAAGCTGCTAGATTGCATGATCACGATTCCCTATGATTAATAATAGTAATAAAAATAAAACTTAAGATCAAGGCAGCTGGGAATGGAAGGCAGTGTTACCAGGTAAATTAAGAATGGCCAACAACGAAAATATACATCCAAACGAATTTAGTATTTTCATAAGTCAATTCTTAAGTTTACAACTTTATTAATATAAAAGTACTAAGTCTTTTATTAAGCATTCAAAATGTTTAAAGAAATAACAGAAAAAAATCCAATTGGAAAATGGAGAAAGAACTATCGGCTGAACTAAAAATATCGATAAGCTGTTTGCTCGTAAACGAAATATACTTATATATATTATAATGTATTTATAAAACAGGGTATAGATACAGATACTCATAAATATTAATTTATTGTAGTTACGTGTAGCTTACTGTAGCTTATTCAAATAATTATAAGGATTATTTAAAACAAAATATCTAACCGGTTCACACACAAAAGTCTGTGATCTGCGGTTGTCCTAAAACGCAACTTGGTCACACTAAATTATGAACAAACATCGATTACGACGATTACGAGTAACGAGAAACTAACATTTTGTACATTTCGTAGAGAAAAAACTCATTATTTTCGTCACCACGTCGCTGTACATATTTTTTTGTTATTTTTTTTAAATTAAACAATAACTAAGAGGCCAGCGCTAGTGCGCGAGTGAGAGCGATAGTAAGTGGGCCGCGAAGGAGAGCGTGAAAAACTGCGTACGTAAAAAGTGGAAACCAAAAAAAAAAAAAAAACGACGAAATAAGCTGCTGAGAGACGGGCGGAAATTCGCAAATTGCAGCTGTGCGTCGTAACGTATCCAAAGATCAAAGAAAAGGCCAAGATAGTGCGAAAAAGAGAGGCCATAACTGACTAAAATGCAACAAACACCCACCCACCCACACACAGCCATAAACAAATGAAATATTTAAATAGAATAAATAATCATAAGCGACGCTGCTGCTGCTGTGACACCTTGCCTTGCGTCCGCAATCTCCCTCTCTCTCTTTGTTGCAAATGCGTGTTGTGTTTTTGTTTTTGTTTGTTGCTATCAGTCCACCTACCGTTTCTCATCTGCCTCTCTTCTCTCTCCTCCCTAACCAGCAAATCCAATTGGAATTGGACCAGGAAACTAATTAGAACGCGCTCAACAAACATCAACAATGGCTCTGGACAGTGGGACGCAAACAAACGCGCTGACATCATCCTTGACCACAAAGAAAAAGGATGCCTCTGCCGAAAAGGAGAACCTCTGGTGAGTTTTCGTCCCTCCCCCCCCACCCCACCCCTCCCACTCAGCAGCCATCCTAGGCGTGAAAAATAGTAGGAAGCGATATGGTTAGGATTTTTGTTGTTGTTAACTTTCTATAGCTGACGTCCGCAGCCAAAAATATTTGTTGCTATTTTGTGCCTTTTCTGGTGCCGGCACCGCCCTCGCCCTCGCCCAAACCCCCCCAATCCACCACCCACAGACCAGCTGATTTCGTGTGCATGTTGTCATTTCTTTTCTTTCTTCCCTTTCTCTCCATTTCTACCAACTTCTATTCTAGTTAACCTCAAAAAAATGGCAGTAAAATTTTACAAAATAATATTTATTTTTCCGCAAAGGGTTTACTTTTCAAAACAAATGCGTAAATAAATGGAAAAACGTTGGGAATTGTTAGAATTTAGAGCTGGCTGGGAGCGGTGGGTGGCGAGGGGGAGGAAAGTAAAATGAGAGAAAAGAGCAACAATGTGCGGGGATGATTCACTGCTGAAATCGAGGGCAGCGACGTAGACTGCGACGTTGACTGCGCTTACCTTTTTTCGCTTTATCAATTTTTATTTTTATTATTATTCTCTAAGCACACACACACACTAACATACACACACACAAACACACTGGCGGACAAAAGCCCAGCTTAATGGGCTGACCATCGATAGTATGGAATATCCAATTGGAAATTGAGACAAACTTGGCTTTAAGACGTGCGTATGTGTGTGTGCGAGTGTGTGTTTGAACGATGTTGTCATCGCTGGAATATGTCGCTCGGCTTAAAAGAAACACACCAACTAACAAAGTTAGAAAGAAGAAGAAAACCATTCAATAACGATCTTTTCTTTAAAAAATGAGAAAATTAGAAAGAAAAGGGCCTTACAACCTCTATATCTTATCTTATCATTTAATTTTCTTATAATTGCTTCATTATAATCCTTATCACTATCGCTAGTTATACCAAGTCTGGAGAGCAACTGCATCTGGAATTGAGAAAAACACCTTTATTTTTAGACCAACCATATGGTTTTCAACAACAAACCATTCATATCCAACAGAATCCGCAACTGTTTTCCTCCAAAATGATAAACAATCACAAATGGAGTTGGATTTCCTGCCATTAGAGACATTTGTGGAATTTAATTGAAAGAATGCGAAGCTCGCTCTCCAGAAGTTTTGTTTATGGCTTGGTTTTCAACTCCGTCACGGGATCCCAGACCCCGCCATTATCGATTTTTGTATCGAGGGCTCCCATTACACTCTTGTTTAAATTTAGAATTTGTTTACATTCCGCAACGACCCAGTTTCCAGAGCATTGATTTCAGAAGAGATTCTAATTTATTGATATATTGAAACATACTTTATTTTAATTCCCTTTATGATAAGTTTTATAATAATTACGGATTAGCAAAAAACACATAGAAACACTAGAAACTATTGAACGAGAACATCTACTACATCTCCTCGATAAACACATCCTTATCGTCATCGTTATCGGTATGCGATGGCACCGACGACGGCTGCGATACCTGATGCCTATCGAAGTTGTTTTGGATGCGTTCCAGCAAATCGGTGGCCACCAAAGCGAAATCCTCCCACAAGGCATCCGGCTCTGTATCCGCCTCCGGCTCCCGTTCCCGCTCGTTCTCTTCCGGATCTGCATCTCGTTCCGGACCGTCATCGTCGTCGTCGTTGTCGCCCGATTGTAATCGATCTTCATCGAGATAATCGGCCAGCAGATCGCTCACCTCGTCCAGAATGCTGCCACTTTGGCAGAGAGTAGCGGCACACTGTCCGTCGATGAGGAGATTCCACAGGGCCTGGCAGACGATGTTGGCCAGAAACCAGTCCTCCTGCTCCAGGGATCCGCGCAGCAGTAGAGACAGCAGTTCCGCTCCCCGCAGCTGCAGGAAAGGGCCGCGCTGTTCGCCGTCTCCCAGGAGATTGACGAGCACTCCGATGGCACACGTACGCAGCTCGTAATCCTGTCCAGCCGCCTGTTTGGTGAGCTGTTGCACCATCAGGGGTAGTCCACCGGCGCCACAGAAGCACCTCCTGGCTCGTTCGTTGCGCGTGAGATTCCCCAGAACCCTGGCCAGCTCCACTTTGGTCACGGACGCAGGGCAGGAGCTGAGGACCTTGGCCAGTGAAGCGGACAGGTCATCGATTAGGCTCTGGAGCGATCCCACGGCCAGAGGCTGAACCGCCGGCTGCTTGTCCTGGTAGAAGCACAGATTGTGGAGGGCTCCCAACGTGGCGTGCAGTAGTTCCTGCTGCTCCGGGGTCTAAAAAAAAGGAATACTTTAACAAAAATCCTCTAGATTTCGATCAGAAAGTAATCTCTCACCTTTTTCCTCTCCAAGGCTTCGCTGGACTTTCTTAAAATCTCCAAGAGAACGGCGCCCAAGGATCGAACGTTGCCCAAGGCAGCTCCCACTTCGGGATTCACGCTCATATTGGCCACCACTCGGATCAGCTTAATCTGGGCATCCAAAAGGGACACACTGGTGGAGGTTCGTTCATTTAGCTGCTCCAGGACATTCAGAAGATACTCCATGGCCACATCGTTGTGAAAGTACTGGAGAGAAATGGATATTAATGCCTAATCCTGTAAAGAATCGTCTAAAAACCCACCTGTATGCGAGCTGTCTCGTGCTTGGCCAGAATATTGCCCAGCATATAACCCAAGCGACTGAGAACCGCCAGAAGGCGTTCGTTGCACTGCCCGCCGGCGCAGGAAGGACCCAGAAGCAGACCAATCCTGGCCGCATAGTTGTGCAGGGTTTCGCAGCAATCTGTATCCTCCGAGAGGACACTAAAAGGAGTAGAAAGGCCAGCAAGTTAGTGGAGATCCTTCGAAAGATTTGCATGAAGAAAAACTCACCTCAAAGTGCGCACTACATTGGCCTGGACCTCCAGCTCGCCCATGGAAACCTCGGCGGCGCGGATGAGATGCGGGCAGGCCAGCTGGAGCTGGAGACGCTGCTGCTGCTGGGACACATCCGCCAGGGCGCGCATGGCCGCCGACAGCTGGTAGAGCGTGTGCAGAGGCGGTCCTTGCAGCTTCTTGGTGGCGCCGGCTTCGTTCAGCATCTGCAGGTGCAGGATCATAAGTTCCACGGCCCCGTGGCGCGCCAAACGGGAGACCAGCGTTTGCTGACCGGTCAGCTTGCGAGGACACACAGGAGCAGGCTTGGAAACAGCCAGATTAGCGGGCTGGTTATCCACCGATGGCTGTTTCTCCTCTCCACCGATCCAATTCCGGTTGAGGGCATCATCTCGGTCCTGGGCACTGCTGGCGGTGAGAAACCGTATGCATCCGTAAGCATAAATGCAGGCCTCCGGCTCGTCCAGAGGCGAGGCGTGACCTAAGCCATCGATGAGCAGCTCCAGGACATCGTGCTCGTGAAAGAGTCCGTCGTGCTGCTCGTTCCTGGCCACCTTGAAGATCAACTTGCAGGCTCCGGTTAGGTTGCTGCCAGTGACTCTTAACTTGGAGTGGAATAGAAACATTATACACGGTCTCTAGAGAAAGGATGAAGCTTAGGACTTACCGCCAAAACCACACGAGCCACAGCCAAAAGGACACGCGGCGAACTGCATTCCACCAAGCCATATAGGCCGCCCAGGATAAAGCCACGTTTGCAGCCGCGTTCCTGCTTCCTAACACGCGTATAGAGTTCCTGAAGGATCTGTGAAGAGAATAGGGTTCAGTTCTTGGAACACTTGCCGCACTATCCATGGCTTACTCCATTGATGTGCTGGACTGTCTCGTCGCTGCAGTCCTTGAGGCCACTGTGCTGCTTGAGGAGCTCGATCAGGGTCTCGGTGTTGGACTGGCAGAGCAGGGCACCGTTTCGGGTGGGCATAGGCGTGGCAGGACCAGAACCACCCAGAGCTGGTAGCTGGCGGGGAGTCATGGGCTTCTCATTCTGTAGATACCTCATTCTGAAGCCAGGAATATACATATATAATTAGGGGGAAAGTACTTGAAGGGGAGAGGGAACCTACGAAAAGGCACTGGGAGGTCGACCTGCGAGGGCTACTTTTCCGTACAGGACACGGCCGGACTCCCGGGGCGTGATGGGCCTCCGGGTGCTGACCAACCGGGCGCCTCCGGTGGCCAGAAGGGGCACCGCCGGTCCCGGACCCTCGCCCAGGAACATCTTCGCCTCGCTAATGAGCTCCGCGGAGGTCTTGCGCCTTCCCATCCCCAATCCGCTCGATATTAGACCAAGCTTGTTCAGATTCTGTTCACTGGCGTGAGGATTTCGGGTGGCATGCGTCGGTTTTTCCAGTTTCCTGTCCGGTTTCTCCGTATCCGTTTGTTTGGCCTTCTCCGTGCTCTCGATGGGCCGTGTTTCGCTGCGCGATCTTCGCTTCAGCAGCAAACTCATCTTGAAGCTCGTCGGTTGATCCTCGTGATGGGCTATCCTTGATTTTGTATTTCGTAAGACGCAAGTACGTGGCCAGGAGGCTCCAACTTGGCCAACAGTTCCGGACGGACAGGCAGCGAGTCTGGCAGTGCGCCTGGAAAATGTGTTTTTCGTTTGGCTTTTTCGCGTGCACCATGCCAACCGGGAACCACTACACTCCTCCATCCCCTTCTCGCTCTCTCTCTGTCTCTCTTTCTGAGGCGAAAAGGACACCCACCCACCCACTTAGACACCACCGAACGGGTAACGGTGAAATGTTCACTTACCATTCACTCTTCGGCACAGTGGGGCGAGTTGTATTCCTCCTGGGAAGTGGGTCAGGCTCTACTGGGTGAGGATTATGAGCCAAGGGGGGCAGGAATTGAATTAAAATATATTTTAAAAGGAGTTTCATGAAAATAAATTTAATTAGGGAAGAGAAGAGAGACTCCAGAAGAATGTGGGTCAAAGTTTAAAGGCGGAAAGTCGGAGAAATTAATATTTTTTGAATAGAAAAGATTTAGTTGACAGATTAGTTGAAGAATTAATTCGAAAAAGTAGAATTATCAACTAGAGAGTGAGAACTAACAGACATTATATAAAAAAGGATGTAAATAGTCAAGCTATACCTTTAAAAAGGATCTATTTCAATCCAATAATAAAAGACTTAAGGAGAATTATTTACTAGAAAGTTGAAACTCGGTGAATATATATAAGAAAATGAACCTTATGTTGACACTAATCCTAAGAAGGATCTATTTAAATCGTAAAATATTATAAAAATCATTTAATTCATATACTGCCTTGGTACTCTGACTCAGAACTTGTACTTTCCAAGGAGTTCGTCCTACTTTTCTAACAAAACCCATTTCGTGGCAAACATTTCTCACACCATCCTGAGTCACTGTGCCTTAGTCATAGCATATTATGGCACACACCATACGATACGAGTCATTGGGAAATGGGAAATGGAAAAGCGGAGCTTTTCAATAAAAGGAACGAACGGAGCAAAACAAAGCAATTGAAGTAGCCCAGGCTGGAAAAGTGTCTGGCAATCGATATTCCCCAGAGGCTACATAGCGCAGAGAACAAGGACCTGCGGTCAATTTGCATGTCCTGCCAGGTAGCCCGACAGTCCGGCAGCCCGATAGCCGGACAGCCGGACAGGATGTTACGATGAGAGACCCGAGGCGAGCACAACTATTTCCCCATCAATTGAAAAATATTTAATTGGACTAATTGAATTGCAGACGTTTGAAAGTACATAGCATGCAGGTCTTTGGGTGGGGTAGGATATCAAATATTGACGCAGTTTCAGGACACGAACGAACCATAGCATCGGATTCCGAATTCAGAAAGTAATGGCTTTCAGTTGCCTGGAAATTATGGCAGTCGGTGGAGGTGGAGTTGAGGTTGAAGGGCCCGCCAATTAACTCGATGGCGAGTGGAAGGAATGTTGCGAAATAAAGGGAACTATTTTGATGAATGATGGAGCTGACCTGGATCCTTAAATGTGTGTCAGCAGGCCCCCGACAGAAAAAATGCCAAATGCGTAGTACTCTTCTACAGATCCCCCGCTCTTTGTATTTAAATGTTTTATTTATAGAATAGTTTTTTGGGTTTTAAAGCGAGCCAGTGATTGATGTTGACATTCCCCAGAAATATATACATTCGTCTCACGATTTGGCTTCTCTTTATTACAGGTCGGCGATATTGAATGAAGTACAAACACAGGGCAGCACAAAACTTCCATCAAATAAATCTGTACTAGTATTAGGCGATAATGCCACCGGCAAGACGACACTGATTGCCAAGCTCCAGGGCGTTGAGGATCCCAAAAAGGGCTCCGGCCTGGAATATGCCTACATCGATGTCAAGGATGAGTACAGAGACGGTATACAGACTATACTATTTCTATAAATTTGTCTTCCTATATTAATCCTTTGATATCTTTTCAGACATGACGCGTTTGAGCGTTTGGGTCCTGGACGGCGATCCAGGACACACAAACCTCCTGCACTATGCGCTCAATGAAACGAACTATGCACACACACTCGTCATCCTCACCGTCTCGATGACGCAGCCGTGGGGCTGGCTGGAGCAGTTGAATCAATGGATCAAGGTTCTCGGCCAGCATATCGAAACCCTACAGCTGGACGCCAAGGAGAAGGAGGCGGCCCGCCAGCGACTGGCCACCACGTGGCAGAGTTATTGCGAGGTGGGCGACGATCTGGATCCTGGATCGCCGGTGAAGCGCACAATGCGCAACAACTCGATCGACGAGGATGATCTACTGCCGCTGACGGAGGACGCACTAATTACAAATCTGGGCCTCGACATCGTTGTGGTGGTCACAAAGGTTGGATTACCTTACCTCACTTATCCATATCATCGTTGGCTTATCGTTTGAATCCTTTACAGACGGACTACATGACCACGCTGGAAAAGGAGTACGAGTATCGGGATGAGCACTTCGACTTTATCCAGCAGTGGATACGAAACTTCTGCCTGCGGCACGGCACCTCGCTATTCTACACGAGCGTTAAAGAAGACAAAAACTGTGATCTCCTCTACAAATATCTGACGCATCGAATTTATGGTCTGCCATTCCGTACGCCAGCGCTAGTCGTTGAAAAAGATGCTGTACTCATGTTAGTTTATCCATTATTCCCTGCTATTAGTGAGTCGTAATAAAAGCATTCTATCTCCTTTGAATTTTAGTCCGGCTGGCTGGGATAGCTTGAAAAAGATTAGTATTTTGTATGAGAACATGCACGGAGTGAAGGCCGACAATGTCTACTCAGATATCATCAAAGCGCCGCCAACTAGAAAGGTATGTGATCTATTTAGAATAGCATCTGGTAGTTTCCTAAACACACTTCTTTTCAGGCGGTCTCCAACCGAGAGACGGAAGTACAGACGGAGGACGAACAGGCTTTCCTGGCCCGCCAGCAGGAGATCCTCAAGCAGGGCGATCAGGTCCGAGGCGAGTCCCCGCTGCGGTCGCAGGCTGGAGGCGTGGGCACCAACAAGAGTGGAACTCGCACATCCGTAGCCACCGGCCAGAGTTCACCCAAGAAGGTGAGTGGAATGGAATATCCTAAAACAGAGCTGAATAAATATTATATTCCTGAATCGCAGATGGATCCTAAACTGACGCCTGCCACGCCCGGGGGTGAGGGGGTGCTGGCCAACTTCTTCAACTCGCTGCTGCACAAAAAGTCGGGCAGTCCGGCGAGCGGTGGACCCGGAGGCCCTGGCAGTCCGGCGGGAGCTGCTCGCACTGCCAACGGCACTGACGCAATGACGCCCGAGAAGCTCGCCGTCCGCACGGACGCCGCCGCCGAACTGGATCGTCTGTCGCGGAGCGTGAAGAAGGAGATCGACATGTCGCAGAGTGAGTGTTGAGCGGGAGGAGCTAAACGACACTCAACAACAACACAACAGCCACACCTGCAACATCGACACGTATAATAGAGAAAAAACCACAGCAAACAGAACCAGAACAACATAAACGATAAATTTTAATTAAGTAAAAAGTGAATAGCAGAGACTCGTTGAAAACAACTCGCGAACTGCTATAGCAGTGTAGCTGAAGGATCTTAGCTGAAGGAGGAAATTTAAGCACATCCCCGTCGGGACCATTCTGAATGGCCCTGAAGGTGTCCGTTTTCGGCAATTTATTTTAATCATTTAAGAGGGAAAACCTTATAGTCAAAAATATTGGTCAAATCCAAATGGTACATTCAAATTGTAAAATTTTGTATAAGCTTAAAGAAAGAACCAATTGTGTATGAGGTTTAAGGATAAAATTGAGTAATTGTAAATGAAAATATTTAAGCAAAATCGAATTGTGTTGTTCCCCCTGCCTCTGTGTCCCTCTCTCCCAATGAATTGATCAATATTTACCTTAAAGCTTTCCAAGGAATGCCTCAAAATCTTTCTCTGGAGCCCATGTGATGAGTTCCACGATTAAGAGTTTTGGGTTAAGGGAGGGGGGCGTTGTTTTTTTTTTGTATTCGCGCCCCCCCCCAAAGGCACTGCGAGTGATCCTTTTTACGAGCCTCCTGCGGCATACTCAATGAAAAATGAAATAAATGATAAACGTTCGATAGGAAATGAGAGTTAGAAATGGAAATGCAAAGATACAAAAATTCGAAACTTAATGGTATAGCTTAGCGAAAAAGTCTGCAATTTTGATGAAATGCGTGCCGCATGTCCCCCCGCGCGATTATGTTTGTTTTGACGGGGGCCTTGGCGACACTAAATATATACAATTGTATAAATAAATTATTTAAAAAAAAAACGCTGTAAAATGTAATTAACAAACGGGACAGACAACCGAGAGATTCTAAAAACAAAGTCCGCAGCCTCCCGAGGATAGGGACGTCAAGGATATACTATATTGTGTATTTTATTCCCCAAAAAGAGAAATTAATTCAACACAGACACACATGCGCCTAACTGTAGTTTGATAGCTTGTATTTACTTTTTAATTATATTAATTAATTACACTCACTGACACACACACAATGGCGTTGAATAATTAATTGTTTTTTTTTTGAAAAAGTAGCGAAAAGTTGATGATAATATTTATGAAAGGAATATCATATTGTGTGTAAATTAGCTAGCCCACAAAGTAACATTCTTGGCTTTTTCGTTCAACTCCATCCAGACACTGTAATTAATTAAATAATTAACGTTATTTTTTTTTTTAACTAAACCTTCTGATTTTAATGTAGGCCGCAATCGTTACCCGTTCATGAAACTCGTTCCCCGAAACATAAAGAAAGAGCACTGTACGTTGAAATTTTTAAAGCCAAGTTTTTTTAAGCCATTTTAATCGAACCTGTCAACTCTTCAAAATTTCCCAAGTCCCAAGTCGCTGCTTAAAGCCGGATAGCCCGAACAAGAAGTAGAAAAATGTAGTAAAATGCAGCCTCCCAAGACCGTGTTTTTATTAAATTATGCAAGCATGAAGCTCCTTTCTAGTTTGCCATGTATATCCCTCAGATTCTTCAGGCGAAAATGTATGTATTCTCTTCTCTATCGAGAAGAATTCCCTTTTCCCAGGTTCTTCTCACTCTTTCCCCCACGTGTTGACCAACTATTTGGCTCCTGCTCTTTCCGGTGTGCCCTCAGAAGCAAATTGAAATAAAAGTTGAAAATGAAACTAAAACGAAGAATAACTGAACGATTTGTGCTACAGAAACTATTTTTATGTATAAATACAAAGTAATTATATTAAATATATTGTATAACACTATATATATATATATAAACGTATATTGAAAACAAAGAACAGCGGATTCAGAACATATCGAGCCCTATTTGCAAAAACAACGTAAGCGTCATTCTTCAGAAAAAATTTTTGTATGCAAATATTTACATAAATATTAATATATTAAAAACTAATGGCATCTATTTACTGAGATATCGGCCTGTCTGGCAACAAACGCCTATGTTAGTGGCCGTGAAAATAATGCAAAAAAAAACCCTCTCCTGTAAAATTTGCTTTTTGGCGCTTAGGTTATTTTCGAAAATAGTTCTCGATATTGTGGAAAGAAATTAATCGGTATTCGGTATTCGAAAGCCACCAGTCTTGGCCCTTGAAAGTGTAAAACAAAGAACAAAGCTATAAAAACACGAGTATAAATTAATGTACATTAAATCGAAATCAGCGTCGAAAAATGCAACAAAAAAGTAAAATAATTTAAATAAAATTTTCCAAAAACATCAAAAAAAGATAAATGAATCTTTATGAGTTTCATTCCAAGAGGAAGGGGCTATATTTTTATATAAATTCTTGATCCGGAAAAGCTTCATGGTGGTTATAAGCTTGTCTGACTGTCCCCGGAATTTCTTTAATGTTATTCCAAATAGAACCTTGAGTCTTTCTTTGAAATCTGTTTTCTCTGGTATACTGTTACTACCAAAGTAATCTCAGAATCATTTGACTTTATTCTATATTTCTATATCCTTTAAGTAGGGCATCCAAGCTTCGACTCAGCCTAAAGTTTCCATTCTTGCTGTTCGATATGCGGGGCTTTTATTAATGATGAAGGAGACTGTTCCTTTGATGATTATCACATCGTATGCGCCTTTCACATCCTGTCTATATTTTCATTTCGATAGTGAGTTTTTCTACACAGAAACACCCAAAAAATTCCCATAAAAAAATCCTTCAAAGAATATATTCCTTATCAGATCAATATATATTTCTACGATCTTCAAAGGACATGGTAACTCATTTTTTTTTGAATAAAAACTTATTAAATAATATTTACTTTCTTTCAGTGCTTTATGTCCAAGGACTAAGCGGAACAGCTGGCAGATGGTTTTCCCTATTCGATTCCCTTCTGCCCGCCACCCGGCGTCGCCTTGATGGCTCCAAGGATAACACTTTGCTTGACCTTTTCCCGGCGTGTGTGCTGCTGTGTGTGTGAGAGCGCGTGATAAATGATGACGCCAGTCCAACGCCCGTATCCTTGCTCCTGTTTCCGCTCCACCTCTCAGCCGACCATCCCCCCATCCCCCACGCTCCGTCTTGATCCTTGTTGCCCCTTTTCTGGTTACTTATTGTTTCAGCCCGCATCCTTTGTGCGCCCGTTGTGCGACAGTTTTGCCAAGTTTGTTTCTGTTACTTTGTTCCACAGGCCATGGTTCCATCTGCCACACCCCCTTTGGACATATTCCCGCCCAAAGCCCACCGCTTTGCTGCTTTTGCTAGCTTTTCCTTTTGATTTTCCCCCGCACGTGCTCATTTTCCTTATTGCCCGGCCCGGCCTGACTTAGCGCCCTTTTCTGCCAGCCTCGATTTGGCTCAAAAAATATTGACATTGATTTTGATTTGCTTCTTTTGCGATTTGATGGCTTCTGCTACTCGGCTGCCGGCTTTTCCCCAGAAGAGCACGTGCCAGGAAAACCGGAAAATCGGCAAAAGCGCCTTTCATGGCTGCAGCAGCTGCCAGGATCCGTCAGGACGATAAAGCGGATTCTGATGCCTCCGGCATCTTGCCTTGCATCTTGCGGATTCAACTTACTTTTTATTCAGGTCACTAAAAATGCATCAAATAAAGTTGCTTTCAAGGGTTTCTATCTGTTTCAAATATCTTAAGTTTCTTTTAATAATAAAAAATAGTTTGAACTTGTTTCAAAAATGTGGCGAAATTTTAAGAGCAGTGCTTCTTCTGAGAATAACGATTCTTTTTAAAAACCATATAATAAGAGCTATGAAAAATACGAAGAAGAGGAGTGGGGAATCGATCTAGAAATCGTTTACGGTAATCCGATTGACAATCGAATGATAATTGGGGAAGATATAGCCATCACTGTGGACCCTATAGGGGAAAACCCTATTTTCAAGGGATCCCATCAGAAAAATGGACAAAAAAATAAAAAAATATTTTGTCAGAGGATTTTGATGCAGAATGGTGGCGTATCGATCCAGAAATCGTTTAAGGTACGCCGCTTGAGAATTGGATGAGAATTGGGGAAGATATAGACATCGCAGTGGACCCTAAGGGCTAAACCTCATTTTCAAGGGATCCCATCAGAAAAATGGACAACAAATCTAAAAAATATTTTGTCTGAGGATTTTGATGCATAATGGTGGCGAATCGATCCAGAAATCGTTTAAGGTACGCCGCTTGAGAATTGGATGAGAATTGGGGAAGATATAGACATCACTGTGGACCCTAAGAGCAAAACTTCATTTTCAAGGGATCCCATCAGAAAAATGGACAAAAAATTTAAAAAATATTTTGTCTGAGGATTTTGATGCATAATGGTGGCGAATCTTGGCCCTTCTGGCCAAATTATATAAGTTAGGTATTCATTCCTGCCTATTAAGTTGGTTCGAGTCTTATCTGGCTGACCGACCTTGCCACGTTACTATTGGAGACGCTATCTCAAGTCCCTTTGTCACCTCCTCTGGTCTTCCACAAGGCAGCTCTCTTGGACCTCTTCTATTTATCATTTTCATTAATGACATCTCGTCATGCTTTCGTCATTCGTACTTTTTAATGTATGCGGATGACCTTAAAATCTACAAAGCGATTAGTTGCATTAGTGATAGTTACTTGTTACAGGAGGATATATCCAGAGTTTACTCATGGTGCTCCCGCAATCTTCTTCCATTAAACTTATCTAAGTGTATGTTTACCCGTTACAGTAGGCGGTCTCTTTAAATCTGTACGGGTTATTCCATCAATAATTAAAATTTGGCAGCTAAAGAAGAGGTGTTAGACCTTGGTGTCTTATTCGACAGCACATTTAAATTTTCGGGTCACTTAGACTATATTTTACCTAAAGCGTATGCTATGCTGGGCTTTGTTAAGAGGCACGTGAACCAGTTCAAAAGTCCATACTCGAGCCTCAGCGTCTATGCTGCATTCATTCGGTCGAGGCTGGAATATGCCTCAATCATTTGGAACCCGGAGTGTAAAGTTCGTTCCAGCAAAATTGAGCGACTCCAGAAAAAATTTTTAAAATTTGTACTTCTGCCTCTAAGGTTGAAACCTTAGAGGATCCTGTTCCTTCATACCAGAGCCGTTGCCTTCTTCTGAACGTTTGCACGTTGGAGGATCGGCGTAAACTGGCAGCGTTAACTTTTTTAAATAATTTAATCGTCGATAACATTGGATGTCCTTTTTTGTTGGGACTCGTTAATTTTAATGTTCCTCAAAGGGATCTTCGTACCTTTGCCCCCTTTCGGGTGAAGTGTCATAGGGCCAATTATCTTTTAAATGAGCCGATAGAGCGGGCTCTTTCATTTATTAAGTTTTTGTTAATTTTGTAGTTTTATTTATTAGGTGTAAGTTGTTATGTTATGTAGCCATGTAAGGATTTGTCCGTTGGCGAAATAAATAAATAAATAAATAAATCGATCCAGAAATCGTTTAAGGTACTCCGCTTGAGAATCGGATGAGAATTGGGAAAGATATAGCCATCACTATATATCCTATAGCTTCCCTATAACTGCCCTATACATATATTTGATATATTTTTTATATCGCCAGCAGTCAATTTATAAATATTTCATTATGCATTCATTCTAAACGCAATTGCTTTACATTTTATTTGATTTATTTGGCACACTATTGGCCAATTATTTAAATTTATTTGCACATTTTTTTCAAGCCATTTTTTATTGTGAGACTGACTGACAGGCAGACAGTGAATAAATGGAAAAATAATATATTCCACCCACAAAAGGCCAGCAAAAAAATGGCAAATCAAATTTTTACACAATGTAATTAAGTTTAATTTCCTTTTTTCAGAGTGCGAGAGCCAAATCTAATATTAATTAAGCCGGCCAGCGATGTCTGGCATTGGCTGCCTGCTAGAAATTAATCGGCCTAATTGAATTTGCATTAATTTCGCACTGCAGTCGGCTAGAAAAATGCTTAAATAATAAATGTACACACACACGGCTTGCGGAGCGGAAAAAAGCGCAAAAAACTGGCATGAATACATTATTATGGAATTGAAAGACTTGGGGATTTGGAACATCTATCCCATGGTCAGATCTGTTCCGCGATTATTTGGCCAATTTGGCAGAGAAATTAATTAACAATTTGGCGTATAGAACAACACGAGAATCAATCCTCAACTAATTATAATAATACTCAAGATTTTTCCCCGTCACGAACCAGTTATTCTAGCAGAGCTTCTATAATGACAGCTTAATTGGAATTGGAATCAGAATTATAGTCGGAGGGGGCTGAGGTGGATGGCATGGGATGTCAGGTCAGGTCATGTGTAAGTGGAATATCCAAGATTGGATATTGGCGGAGTGGGAGTGGGAAGTGTATACAACTTTTTGACAGCTTGTGGCCTTGCGATGCCGTCAAAACAACTTTTGCCAACCAGAAAGTGGTAGTGGGAGGGAGGCCACTGACGGGGCCAAAAGCAAACAAACAAAGGCCCAAACAGACAGTGGCAGAGGCAGTGGTAGAGGCAGAGGCATATAAATAAAATCTGAGAAAATATGACAATTTATCAGTCTCACATTTCAGAAGGAAAACAAATGGCGAAATGGATGACGATTGAGGTTTACAATTCAAGATTTATTTCAAATATTTCTAGTGTTTTGTGATTAAAGAACAAGTAGTTATCTCTATCATCCCACTAAAGATCTAAAACATATAGCTTTGAAACTACATCACTAGCTTAAGTGACTCTTTAAAGTTCGAATATACTTTCCTTTCAATAAAAACCCTTGTTTCCTTTCCTTATTTTTTTTCTTTGAGGTCCTTGTTTTGATTGAAGTCAATTGACACTGCAGCTGCAGTTCATCACGAATGGTGTTGACTCGACTTTAATAGACTAAAGACTCAGAGAACTCAAGACTAAGGACGAAAGATGCCAAGAGGATGTGCTTTGTCCTTCAGGGCTTGTCTTATTCAACTGCTGCAGCTCTTTTGCTTTTATCTGACAAATTGAGTTTCCGGACGGACACGGACATGGACACGGACACGGACTCCGACTCGGACTCGGACTCGGAAAAAGCTCAAATAAAATCAAATGTGTGGTGTGGCCGTTAGCTAGAAATGGGAAATAGGAAGCTTCGAGGAGCAGGACGCTCTAATGATTTGGTTTCCTCGTATAAAGCTATTGCCTGGAGTTGCCTAAATGCACATGACACTCTTTGACCACAGAAAATTTCATTATAACACTGAGAGAAATAACTGATAAAAAAAGAAATCTCATGCCATTGGAAGCTATGGGATATAGTCAGCCGATTTCTGCGATTTCTACTTATATACTGAATGCAAAGAAAGGAAAGCGGTTTACCAAATCTTAAGTCGATAGCTTTAAAAATAAGAGACTAGCTTAGCTTAGAAGCTTATTCGCGGACACACGGACACACGGACAAGCTTATATGGACTCTATAGAGGACATATCTCATGGAGATTCGTTTTGGAAGTATTCTCTTATCTCTCATTTTAACAAACAACTCTATTTTTCTTTTCAGTAAGTCAGTTACTATATTAGTTAGTTACTTGAATTTTTGTCAGTGCATCATATACCCCCTTTCCTTTCGGAATTTTCCGACCAACCAACCACCCATTTATTGTCCGCCTTTCTGTATAAAATTTCAATTGTCTTTCCCTTTGTTCGAGAGCCATTTGCAGGCGGCCAACAAAAATTGTCAATTAAAGCCATTAAGGCCAATGGCAATTAGTTGCTTGCCCCATTATGCTGCAAGTCGTTTTGTCCCCCAACATACTATACATACATACTATATTTATGTACATTCTCGCTCCAGCCAGCTCTTTCTTTTTATATTCCAACGATCTTCGGGCTGGAATTTTAATTTGAAAATACATTTTTCATTGCCTGCGGAGAGCAAGGCGAAAAGCTTCAAAGGATGTCCTTTTTAATGAAAATGTTTTACTTTAAATTGATTATTTCATTTATTTTTGTGCTTAAGGGTCTACAGGTGTAAGGATACATGAAAAACAAAAAAAAATACAAAAAAATGTTCAAAAACGTAATCCTCTCAAGGATGTAGCTCTACATAGTTTCCCCAATGGGCTTGATGGTCAGCTCGTGGACCTGGACATGAGGCGGCGTGGAGATGGCGTACAGGACACCCTGGGAAATATCCTCGGAATGCAGCATACGGTCCTTGATGACCTCCCGGATGCTGTCCGGTAGGATTTCAGTGTCCACCACGCCAGGACTGACGCTCTATGGAGTTGGAAATAAACTATAGTAGATCCTAAGAGTAGGTATATCCCCAAAACTCACTGTGATCTTGATCTTGGTGCCCAGACCGAGGAATTCCTGGCGGTAGCCTTCCGCCAAGGCTGTCACCGCATGCTTGCTGGGCGGATAGACGTTCACGTCCGGGGCCACGCCCTCCATAGCCGTCATCGTCTTGTGGCCCAGGATGCTGTTGATAAGGATCACATGGCCATCGAACTTGCGCTCCCGCATCGAGCGAACGGCCCGCTGCGTGCACAGGACGATGCCCATGATGTTGGTTTGCAGGACCAGCTGCATCGTGGCCGGATTCATGTCCACCAGGTAGCCGGACTGCAGGGTGCCGGCGTTGTTCACCAGGATGTCGACGGCGCCCAACTTCTTGATGATCCAGTCGAAGGCCTCGTTCACCGACGACTCGCTGCCCACGTCGCAGTAGAGGGGGAAGAGCCGGCCCTGCTTGTCCGCCGGCAGCTGCTTTACCAGCTCTTTGACTCTGTCCACTCGACGGGCTAGGCCCACCACCGTCATACCGGCCAGGACAAGATCCTTGGCAATGGCCGAGCCGATGCCCGAACTGGCGCCCGTGACGACGGCCACGCGATTCTGCCAGCGTTCCATGGTTCTCTTTGGGGCTTAGACTTGAAATATGTCTGGATCGAAGGGGGAATCTCTTTATATAGACCCCAGAATAAGTTGCGTGCTGGAAATGGAAGCTCTCTCCCAATGCCCACGGGCTCCAGCTCTAGAACCTAGAATCTAGATGCACTGAAACAAATAAATCTCTTATAATATTCGACCTATCAAAGCGATCATTTGTTGGATTATTTCATTTTATTTCAGTGGTTTTATAATAGAGCTTGTGTTCTCCAGATTTCTAGCGTGTCTGGTGGTCAGAAATCTGCCAACTCATCCCCCGGCCAATCAGTCACGCCCCCCTTATGTGTATGGGTGTTGTTTGCATAGTTGGGAGCTGGAAAACAAAAGGCCCTCATTATTTTCGGCTCATATTCCAATGATATATGGCCCAGGGGTAGGAATACATATATATTTAAACGAATCGCCCCGTCTAATAATATGGCAACAAGTAATCCAATTAGGGTCATAAGCTGTCTGCTCCAAATTATTAAAATTCTATTGTAATCCTCGGGTGAGGGCATCCAGTGTTCTTCTATGGGAAGAGGGCTAGATGATTATCCCCCTTGGTTTTTTGTTTGAACTGGTTGTTTGTTTTCGATTTATCCACTTAGTATGCTGTAATAGTTACTCTCTCTAATCTCTGAGTTCTGAGCCCCGGCTCGGAATACGATTTGCATATGAAATGTATGCGAATCTCGTTTCCGAAGCACTTCCCACATTCAATTAGCCGCACGTTTATTCAACTTGATTTGTATGAATTGGAAATACTTGGCGAATTGACAGCATCTCATTTTTTTACGGGTCTTAAATTATAAAAAAAAGAATATATTTTACTATTAGGAAGTTAGTAGCTTCAGAGTTGGGGAGTAGTTTTTAAAGATGTATGTAAAGGCCAACTGTAAAGTCTTGAGCATTGCCTGTAAAATACTTTATTATTTATCATACTATGCATTATGATTTAATAGGGATATGTACATATTTTCTATAACATCTATGAGATATAGAAGGTAACTTTCTATTATAGAAAGTATTACAATTCTATAAGTACTTTGGCGGTGACATGCTTTTGAAATGCTTCTCATAGCTTGCTTTTCTGAATTAAAACCTTTGTTTAATCACACATTCAATTTAAGTATATTGTATATTTAATAATTATTCTGAAACCCGTTATTCAATGTAGAAATTCTAAATAGAATTAGTGTGCCAAGCACAAAGCTTCGTAATCACAAGTATTGTATATAAAAGTGACCCAGAAAACGTCTCGCCCTTTTTTAACACTTTTGGTTCCCAAGAGAACTATAGAATAATTGTCTAAACCAACTAATACTAGGTATAATAACCAAATAATAAATTATATTTAAGTTTTTTAACCCATATATTTAGCTTAAGTGAACAATAATTTTATTTGAACGGCCAACTGACACTCTTGGGGCACTGGCGGATAGGATAGTGGGCTTCTGGATGTTTTCTGGATATCTGGGATCCTTAAGACACTACAAAGAGTGATACGTTTTGGGATGCGGATGGTGCTCGTCTCTCTGGCCAGTAACATCTACCAGAAACCCTTGCCACCAGACATGGATCCGCCGGCACCACCGCCGCCATAGTTCATGCTCATGTCCATGCCGTTGTAGGCGCAGAAGGCCTCGCCGTTGTCGATGCAGGGCTCGTAGGGTCCTTGGGTGCCCTGCCCGAAGAAGCTCTGGGGCAGATTGCAGGTGAGCGGGGAGCTGACCGTGCCGCTCATGGGCATGCTCCCATGGCCGTAGTCGCCCATTCCCATCTGAGAATTGGGCATGGGCATTTGCATGCCCATACCACCGGCCATTCCGGCCGACATGCCCATGCCGCGCTGCTGCGAGTGTCCTTGGGGCGAAGGCGCTGCTCCGCCAGAGCTGTATGCCATTGGTCCAGGCATTTGTCCACCATAGCCGGCAGAAGCTCCGCCCCCGGAACCGCCGGCTGACTGGCCGGTCGGCTGCATCAGATCCCCCATCTGCGGGTATACGGGAGCGTTCACGGGTTGGCCGTTCCAGAAGGAGTACCCGCCGTTCGACATCTTCGCGCCTCTAATTTCGAGCTTGACCAAAACTAGAAAATTTCAGAAATTTGTTTTTTATTTTATTTTTGGAAACCAAAAACCGAACGGGTAGAATAATTTTTGGGATATATTCGGGACCAAATTAAAAAGCCGCTTGGAATTTTGGATTGCCGAACGATGTTAACAGTATGAATTCTCAGGAAAGACTGAAGTTATGGAGTTCGAGCCAGAGGCAGGTTCCAAATTTGACTTTCAATTTCGGGTCATGGACTACTTGATTTTAAAAATAACATATTTAAAAACGTGGTTTCTGAGGCTACTGGGTTTTCGGTTTTTTGTCACAAGCCCTGGTCCTGAACAGAGTTCCTCGAGCTGAGTGATAAAAGTCATTAAAAGTTGACTTTCTGCAACTGATTTGGCAGTTAATTCCCTCCAGCCTACAGGCCCTTGAGAAAGCCTAATGCCTCTGCTTTTAATTCAGGTCATTCCGTGTTATTTAGCATAACATTTTTATATTCTGATAAATGCCGTGTTTTTTTTTCCATCCTCCCTCCATCCTCATTTTTATTTCCATTTTCATCTGTCTCTCGGTTCTATTCCTTGTCTTGGCTTAGCCTTGCCTTTGTCCTGTCTCCGGCGGCTGGTGGGGTGGTGGCTTGGTGGGGGGCGTGGCAGGACCAACGTTTGTGTTAATTTTTGAAAAAGGACGCCAACTGTCATGATGCAGCGCAGATGATAATGATGAAGACGCGGAAAGTGTGGCAACAAACGTTTTTTCCCCAAATGAGGGTATCTACAGGGTGTGATGGACTAATGGGAGAACCATATACCATACATTATTTATTTAGTATTATGTCTTTAACTTTAATATCATGATTATCCTTTAAGAAGAGGCATTTCTGTAGTAGTTTATATTACTCTACAGGGTATTACTGGAGTCAAAACCCACTTTCCAATGACGGTTCTCACTTGATTCTTGTGCCAAGCAGAAAATGCAAAACACTTGAACTGAGTGGAAACGAAGGCGAAAGCAAAATAAGCAACAACAAAATGTCTCAAAAAACAACCGAAGCACTTGGAAAATAACCTAAAAATATACAATTAATACCAGATACCAATAAATATTACGTATACGTAACGATCAAAGAGCCATAGACATATTACGTATACGTAAGAGGATCCCATAACATTAAAAGAGTTTCTCTTGTAAAGAGTATAACAGTTATTGAGATCTCTCTTTTCTTGCGGTGCATTAGGACAAGAAGAGAAAGCCAAGCATAAGCAGCGAGGCGAGAAAAAATGAACGCAACATGGTAGGGTGTTGATAATGATAGCAAAGACAAAAGCTTCGGCCATGCCTAATGGGACTTACAGGGTGTCAGAAAAAGAGCGGCTGGGGGCTGGGGGTTGGGGTCTGGGAGGACGAGGCTGGACGTCCTTGACGCGCTGCAGTGGCGACATCGTAGTTAAATTGCCTGTCCTCGGCCGGCGTCAACATTGTGTCATTGCTAGTATTAAATCAGAGCCAAACAAATGGTGATACACAAGAGCGACACGAGTGGCAGGAGACGGCACGGCACACACAGGGATTAACTGAAATGTTTAAGATACGAAGAGCAGCATATTCTATCCATAGCCGACTAAACAAAAGTAAGAAATCTCAAAGTTTACACAATACTATAAACGATTAATTACAACAGCCATTCCGCCAGCCAGATCGACTGTGGTAACCCTGAACTGACCTTGGGCCGGGCCAAATTATGTGCTGCCCGCCATATTGATGAGCGGGAGGGTGGCAGCGGAAGAGCAAGCAGAGAAGTGGCAGCGGAAGAGAAAGCATTCAGTGCATAGTTCATCAAGTTGGCAAACAAACGCATGCCACAGCTGGGCTCTGGGGGGGACGGGGGGCAGCCCGACTTGGGTCAAATATGTTAGCAGTTGCATTCTGTTTTGGCTCCGAACAGCAAACATCCAAGGAGCAGGCAAAGACAAAGGACCAGCACAGTGGGCGAAGCTACAAATTTAAATATTTACAATTATTAAATAATTATATTAGTATCAAAAAAGAGGCAAGTTTAGCAACAACTAATGATTGTTATAATAATATACAATTAGAGTGAGAGAATTGGTTTGGGAAAAAATAACAATATAACCCCACTGTAAAGCATCGCAGTTTTATCGCATTACTGCAGCTGCCTTTGCTCTTATTCCCACTGGTACTCCCACTCCCAGCCCCACTTTCTCTCTTCACTGGATACTCTTCAATTGCAAGCTTGTGGGGAGGTTAATTAAACAAAAAGAAGAAGAGAAAGGTATAAAATATATACTTTACAATATAAATCAATTTTTTTCAATTTATTCATAAATTTTCATTTTAAAAACAAAATTATTTATTACCTATTTTAGCAAATGAAAGGTAACTCTTAGTCGAACTCTTAGTAACTCATACATTTCCCCCACTTCCGCTCCCACTTTTCTGTCGGTCACTATATATTTCTCCGTCTGTCCGCTGGCGACCTTCTCCCATGCCATTAGCAGCGATGGGTAAATAAGCTTAGTTCACTTCGCCGACTAAGAGAGTGTGAGTATAAGAGTGGGAGGCGTGCGAGACCACCGGGATAATGGGCAGGGAGAGGGCGTTATTGTGGAGCAAGTGCCGAAAGTGGCGAGAGCACTTGAAAAAGTGGCAAAATAATTACCGATAACACAACTGCCCAGGCACCGATTCCGAACAGTAGAACTTTTTTCTTTCGCATCCGCGTGTGTGCTTCCATTTTGTTTTTGCAAGTCCTTTTTTTTGTGTGCCTGACAGCGTATTTCGTTTGCTTTTTTCTGATTTCCTTCTTCTCTTTTTTTTTTTTTGTTTGTGTGTTTCGCTTGTAGAACTCTGGCTTACATAAATTCAATTGTGCGATTCTGCGAGTGGTCCTGGGCACGGGTGTGTTTACGTGTGTGTGTTTGTGTGTGTGCACGGAGTGTGCCTGTGTGGCTGTCAGTGCAGTTAGGCTAAACCGATTTGTTTCGCCTTCTGCCTCCCACGCTCCTCTCTAAATTCTGCGTTCACGATCCTGGTTTGGAATCCTGGAAGTTTTCTTTTTTCATTTATCGACCTTTTTGTTACCCTTTCTTATTTAAAATATTAATTAAAATAAAAAGCAATATGGCATGAGCTTGTTATTTTGAAAACTATTACTTTCTTTTAAATTTAAAATTAAATCTGTGATTATAAAACAAAGCTCTTTTATGCGGTATTTTTATTTGATTTTTTTCATCAAACAAGCAATATCCTTCATAATTTAAATTAATAAATCATCGCATTTTTTATGCGATCCATATTTTAAGTCCTTTTACCATTATTATAATTAAAAATCATTAAATGTCATATACATTTAGACCTTAAAACTCCTTTATATTTTATGAATTTAAATACCAACTCCATCTTTAAACTCCGAATCTTTAAAGACCTTCTGAGACAACACTGCGTATGAGTGATAAAATAGAGTCACAGGCAGTACTACATGCATAGGATCTTTTTTAAAAATTTACTAAAATATTTCTATTTTCTTTCTAAAATTTATATAAAACCAAAATCCCCTAGAGACAACTAACCAGGGTAGTTGGGATTTCGTTTTAGTATTTTTTGTTTAGTGGGGTTATTGTTTGTCCTTCCCCCGTTCCCCAGTTGACTTTCGGGGCTCCCTGTGTCAATTGATGACTCTCGCATGAACTGGCCAAGACCAGGACTTGCCAGCTAGGACCAGGACTGCACTGGCCAGGACGAAAGAGACAGGAAAGGAAAAAAAGTAAAGCCTCTGAGCTATAGTCACCAATATCGAATGTCGTTTGTCAAGTTGGAGAGTCAACTTTCGATAATGTTAATTTGCGGTGTGTGTTCTTTTTTGGCGGGAAAGGGGCTTGGTGGCGAAGGACTATTTACTGTGCGAAAAGTGGGACATAAGTGGAGGAAGTTGGGTGGAATTTGAGGAATTCAGAAATTGGGAAATTCGGAAAGTCAACGTAGTTAAGCTCCACTAACAAGTTCAAGTGATCAACTTGTGGTCGCCTTTAATGACTGTCGTCTAATCACTCCTTGGCCCAAGGAACTTCCTGTTTCTCCTCACCAATAGGATAGAGGGTGAAAGGGGCAAGAGGAGGAGAGAGGTCCTTGCCGCATCACATAGCCATAGCCATGCCAATTTATTTAATATGCCGTACGTGAGCTTCCGTTTTTCTGTTCAGCCTCGTTTATGGCCAACTGGCTCTGATTCTCTCGTTCTTTTCTTGTTTTTGAGTCCTTAGAGTCCTTGCAAGTGAGTGCGAGTGTGTGTGTGTTTTACTTCTCGCATTTCATTTCATTTTACTGGACGTTTTCAAATTTTTCACTTGAGTGAGCTTTAGCAGGCGGTTTCACATCTTTAACGATGCGAACGGCAGAGCCGGCCTGGCATGGTAGGGCTGGGAGGTCTGGGAGGACCAGGAAGCGGACTCCCGACTGGTCAACCATTTGTAATGACCAAAAGCCGTAAGGACGTGCAAGGACCTCCACCGACCGGAGCTTTATGTCCGAATGTTTGCAGGCAGGAGCGAAAAAAATATATAATAATATGGGTATTGTTGGCGATTTTGAAGAGTCCTTCTTCCGAGTGTCCTTCCAAAAAAATTAATTTATAATATTTAAATATTTTTAATAAGGGATAATGGAAATTATACACAGGGCCCAGCAGGACACCTAAGTTCCAAGCTCAAAATAAGCAACAGAGAATATAAACATAATTTCTTAAAATTAATATACTAATTTACGGACTAAAATGCTTTGTTACTTAATTTTTCAAATATATAAAATTTTTTATGAATTTTCTTGGAGTGTAGGGGTGTGTGTGTGTCGGCGTGTGTGTGTCTAAACAGCTGTTTCGGTGTGACGGGGCTTACAGTTAAAGAGGATTCCGTCAAGGACACCAGAACGCTGGAGAATTATGTGCAAGTCTCGGCACTCGCAGCTCATTCGTCCTCATCGCCATCAGTCTTGGTCCTGGCCAGCTGAGCTTGGCTCAGTCCGACTCAGGCCGGGCCGGGCCGAAATCCGAAATCCAAAATCCTAGCTGCCCGGCCCGGTCTGGCCTGGCCAGTCAGGACCTTGCCGACCTCGGCTCATATGCGAGTCTTTGTGTTTGCGCATTCAAGTGATGGTGGGGTGGCAGCTGCGCCGTATCCGCATCCGTATCCTC